CACACACAGACATACATACTGACATACACAGACATACACATACACACACATACATACATACATACTGATATACACACAGACATACTGATATACAGACATACTGACATACAGACATACACACATACAGACATACACACAGACAGACATACACACAGACAGACATACACACACACAGACTTGCAGACACACACACACCTCATTTATCAGCCACCCTCCTCTTACCTTTAAGTTGCAGGAGGGTGGCTGGGGATGATGGGAGTGGATGCCTCTGGTGTCCCTGTCCTGTCCTCCGCTCTCCTCCCATGCGCAGTAAGCTGGGAGGAAGTGACCGGCCGTCACTTCCTCCCAGCAGCACTTGCGGTGTTTAGCCGCAATTTTTATTTTATTTTTTAAAGGAGCCCGGTTGCACAATTACCCGGCGCAGCGCTGACCGGGCCCCTGAAGATACAGGGCCCATCGGGTGGCCCTAAATGCTTGGGCCACCTGATGGGCCCCGGTGCAGATGCACCTGCGGCAGTTTCGCCGCTCCACGTGGGGTCCGGGCGGCCGGGCCCCCCAGGGCCGCCGGGCCCGTGACAACAATCACGGTTGTCACCCCCTGATGGCGGCCCTGTATATATATATATATATATAATATATATATAGTGTGTGTGTGTATATATATATATATATATATATATGTACATATATATATATGTAGGCATATCCCTTTGCTATCATACATCAGGTCTTGATGCTGTTCATCAGAAGTGGCTTATCAGTCACCCTGCGAAAGCCTATAATTCTCTTTAGACTTGTGCATGATGGAAAAATTTGTTACAGTTGACCCATTTTTTAAAAAAAAAGAGATTTAGTTCGCTACCTCTGACACTGACACTTCCGTTTTATGTTTTGGCTCATTTAAATTTTGTCTATGCAAGATATTCAGGAAAACAATTCAGACAAACTAAAAAGGGCACAGAAATGAGCCAATCATAGGCGTGCGCACGGGGTGTGCCGGGTGTGCCTGGGCACACCCTAATCCCGCGGCACGCCTATGCATATTGAGACCGGCAGGGGAGATCTCAGGATCTCCCCTGTCGGCTCATGCAGAGCCGGCGCTATCCGAGCGCCGGCTCTGCTCTCAGCCTCCCTCCCCACTGACCCACATGCAGGGAGGGAGGCAGGAGAGGACCCGGCGGAGCTATTGCCGGCAGCTCCGCCGGGTTCCTCTCGCGAGATATGAGCGTTGCCGCGGCAACGCTCAAATCTCGCGAGAGTGAACTCTAGCCCCACAGGGGTTAGAGTTCACTCTCCACTGGACCACCAGGGATCACAGCAGCAACAAGGATCCCCTCCTCCACTGGACCACCAGGGAAGGAAGCAGCAGCACGATCCCCCCTCCCTACAAAAGGTAAGAAGGGAGGGGGGATAGCAAATAATGTACCCCCACCTCCACCCCCCACAATCACCCACCCACATACATACAACACACATACAGCACCCACACACATTCAGCACCCACAGACATACACAGCACCCACAGACATACAGCACCCACAGCACCCATACACAGCACCCACATACATTCAGCACCCACAAACATACACAGCACCCACAGACATACACAGCACCCACACAGCACCCACAGACATACAGCACCCACAGACACACACAGCACTCACAGACATACACAGCACCCACACACATACAGCACCCACAGACATACACAGCACCAACACACATACAGCACCCACACATACAGCACCCTCACAAACACACACAGCACCCTCACACACAGCACACAAACAGCACCCTCACACACACACAGCACACTAACAGTACCCTCACACAACACACAAACAGGACCCTAACAAACACACACACAGCACACTACCAGTACCCTCACACACAAACAGCACCCTCACACACAGTACATTAACAGCACCCTCACAAGCGCACACACACACACAGCACCCTCACACACAGTACATTAACAGCATCCTCACAAGCACGCACACACAAACACCCTCACCCACATAGCACACTACCAGCATCGTCACACACACATCACACTAACAGCACCCTCACACAGCACACAGCATATATATATATGCGGCGTGTGCTTGTGCTTTAGGGTGTACACCCTAATGCAATAGGCTGCGCACGCCTATGGAGCCAATCGGTGTATTACAACATATATAAGTAATATAAATATTATTTACACTTTTAATTAAAATGGGGGTTGAATAATTTTGATGTACAACTGTATATCATTTGCAGAACACTGATAGGTGCATTTTTACACCATTTAGTTCACAGATCAAGTGAGAAAAAGTAACCAACAGAGGGAAATAGTAAGGGCAGAAGAAAAAACTATAGTTATATAGTTATATGTTGTATTTATGAACCCATGAAGGACAGAGGCAATTGTAAGTTCTGACCAAAACAAAACCTAGAATTTGAGCTGCTCAATCATAATTTACCTCTTTCATATTAATTGCACCCACACTTATTATAAATCACTTAGTTCAGGAAAAATATGGCTTTTATTTCACATCAAATATTTAGATATGGAACACAAAATAATATGATAAAAAAAAAAAAAGTGTGAAAAAGTAAGAAATGTTATTTTCCAAGTTCTGCATGGCATTTTAACTGTGAATGTCATAATACTGTTAGCTTGTACTGCAATAAAATACACATATTTGTATTCTGAGATATCCCATGGGTACAACAATGCTTTCATATACAGGTTTCATGGTGTTTGGAAGGTTACAGGATCAGATAAAGAGCTTGCCCATTTCAGTTTTTACACATTGAGATTGGTCTGCTGGTTCTATGTTGCTTTTGAGACAGCATGGCAGCTCAGGATTGAAAATTATACCCATCATGGCATACCATTTGTAAAAGTAAACAAACCAGGGTATTCAAATGGGGTATATCCAGCCTATTTTAGTATATACTTAGTCACAAACCATGGCCAAAGATTGTGTTCATCTTTTTTTTTTTCTTGCATTTTTTACAAAAAACAACCTTAACATTATACATTTTACTGATCTAAAACATTCATATTTGTGTTCAGTGATGTCTCTTGAGTACAACAGTACCCCTTATGTATGGGTTTTATGGGGTTTTGGAAAGTTACACATTCAAATATAGGGCTTGTAAATTAACTTTTCTGCCTGGGTTGTCAGGCAGGGCTCTCAATATATAATGAATAAAATGAATAAAATCACATGATTATGTCAAAATAATACATAAATATACATATAGAATTATTATGTATATTTATAAACTATACTGAATTACATGTATAATTCCTGTCATTCTATATACATTATCAAACTACACAAGAATGAAATTATATATATATATATATTTTTTTTTTTCATTCGCATGTATACTTATATATTATTTTGCCAGTAAATTTTATAACACTATGTTGGGAGATCTGCCTGACAACCCATGCCATTAGTGATGTAATCCAGCCAATCTGGTCATTTGATCATGGCGTCATCGTGATCACCTGATGGGCAGGGGGACTGCCTTGCTTGTCAGGTAGTCCCCTTAATTGGGATTGCCACATAGGGTAAGCAACCTGGCTCATGGGAGGGCATGATTGTTAGGGGGTGTTATACCCTAAAGCCCTCCTTTTGCATGTCCTAATGACATTAAGGGGTTGCGATATATAATATAAAAATATAGATAGTTTTTGTACTGCTACTCTTTTTTTCTCAATTTTTTCCCATTTACTGTCCTTAGCCATCAATTATATTTTTTCCCATCCACTATCTCTTTTCTTGGTGCCATTGGTGGAATTCTGAATCACAAATCAAAATGAATATATTCGTCGATTGCACGTTTGGTTTGGGTCGTGATTAGTCTATGCTCAATTCCAAAACCAGTATTCAAATTCAAAAATTCAATTTTAAGTGTATTTTGATTTTAATATGTGTGTGTATGGAATGTATCGGAAGAAGCAAAGTTGGTTGAGGTGTGATGTAATCTGGGTCAATCCGGTCAAGAGACTGATTGATAAGATGCCTGTGTCGAAATAAGCTAGTAAAAGTGGTGTGTAGAACAAACGAACAGTTGAAGGATAAAGAGTGAGCTGGGTTATGGAGGCAAAGAAACTGAGAAGGGAAGACTAATAAGAGAAGCGTCACCTAGGAAGATGGTAACCTTTCTTAAAGAGGTGTGTTTTCAGTGACTTCTTAAATAACTGGAGAATAGGGGACAGCCCAATTACATGTCTTAGAACTTTTCAAGGGCTGCCCCATTCCTTTGATATTCCCTGAGATGAGAGTTGACAATGTAGGAACAAGTAGATGTCAGGAGAGGTTATTTGCAGAGCAAAGGGAATGAGGAGATGTAGTGATGAGTGACGTTTGAATTGGATCCCGAAGAGTACAGGTATCCTATGTAATGATTAGCAAAGGGGTGAAATTTGTGAGCAGTAGTCAGTCAGGAAGGATGCCTGGTGTCAGCCTTCATTACAGACTGAAGAGTGTCAACGTGGGTATTTGGAAGGTAGATAAACAGCAGGATATGGGGATCATGAAAAACGTGACCAACCAATATACTGATACAGCAGAAGTTGCAATAATCAAGTTGGAAAATGATGAGTGCATGAGTAAGTGCCTTAGTTGTAACTTGAGTTAGAAAAGGTTGAATGTGGGCAGTTTGTTGAGTAATGAGATGTAGTGAAGAGTGGAGTTAGTGATCGCTCTGTAGGTTTGTATTAGCACTTTGAATTGGATCACAAAGGGTACAGGAATTCCATGTCATGATTGGTAAAGGGGTGACGGGTGCGAGTAGCAGTCAGTCAGGAAGATGTGCCTGGTGGCAGCATGCATTTAGAACAGAAGAGGGTTAATGCGGGTATTTGGAAGATGGATAAAGGTGAATAAGTAGTGCAGTAGGAGATGCAATAGTCAAGTTGGGAAATGATGAGTGCATGAATAAGTGCTTTAGTTGTAACTTGAGCTATGAATAGGGTGAAAGCAGGCAATATTTTTGACCACCTCTTTTTATTTTATTCACGTTATATAAAATACAAGTAAAATGATATACAGAAGTAAATCAGTGACTGGAAAGAACAGTCAGACATAGGTTAAAAAAAGTATGCATTTCACATAGCTAAGATGTTTCACATGGCTAGTTAATGTGCTGATATAAAAAAAGTGCAAGATGGTCTAACCCAGTTTATAAGGAACAATGCAACCAAACCAAAGTGGGATCTGCGTTGTCTCGACCCCCTATCTAAAATGTAACACAAAATATAAAATAAAAATGTGATAGCGCTGTGGGTGGCATTTGTCAAAGTAAAGTAAACATAAACATATTCATAGAGAAAGCAGCTAGGGCACGAGTCACGAATTTACTGTGGTTACTCAGTCCGGGGTACGGTTGGATGTCTAATTAAGTAGTAGTTCACCTTCTGCACTTAAGTATTAACTAACAAGCCCCAGAACCTGTTCAACCTGGGAAGTGGACCAAGGCATAGTTTGCTCTCCCTGGTAGGCTGCTACACTTAACCCATGTCTACCCATATCATCTATGTACGAAGTGTAGAGTGTGAACAATAGTGAGCAAGTAGTCATTCTAGACAATCACATCAGGTACATTAGAATAGAAGAAGGGAGGGGGCAAGGCCAGGAAGAGATGGCGAGGAAAAGAAGAAGGAAAGAAAAAAGGGAGGGATTGAGGGGAGGTGGTAAAAATGGAAGAAGAAGGGTAGGAAGCAGGAGGGGAGTGGAGGAAGGGGAGGAGGTCCCACCTCTTCAGCCCACCCCTGTCTTCCACGGTCCGCAGATCCGTAGAGCCGTGATCCTCCTGTCAGTCAACTCTACTCCATCACTACAGACTAGTCAGTAATCTGGCTACTCTCTTGTAAAATGTCCATGTTCTCCAGATTTCTTTGTGCTTCTCCAACCACCTTCCAACTGCTGCTATCCCCTCCTCAACCTGCCTGATCTCCTCGACTCTCTGAAGCCAAGTCTGAAATGTTGATAGTTCTTTCCCTCGCCATGTTGCAAGGATCTATGATTTGGCTGCCGTAAGTAGATGCCTAGACATCGTTTTCTTGTATTTCAATACTGGCAGAGTGGACTTGTTAAACAGAATATCAGCTGGGTTGAAAGCCACTTCCTTGTCTGCCAGTAGCACTTCATGGAACTGCTTACAATCAGGAATGAGGGGACACTCCTAAAAAATGTGAAGGAGAGCCCCTGCTCCTGCCTCCCATGTCCAACCTCTGATACCTCCTGGAGATATTTGAGAATTTTCTGTGGTGTGTCATACCAATTAGTTAGTTAGTATCTTGATTTCCAGGTATTTAGCACATTGAGAGTTAATATGTGTGAGTTAAAGGTATGAAGAAGTTGAAGAGTAGGTTTAGATGATAGAGATAAAATACTCTTGCTTCGCAACGGAGAGGGTGGAAGTATAGAATCATAGCATGAATTTGTAATGTTGGAAATCAGGTGTGGTGCAAGACTTTCTCCAACAATATTCTGTGCTACGGGAGCATAGTTGGAGATAAGGGGTGAGCTTCTTGTAGCACAGTTAAAGGCGTGGTTGGTGATTAGAGTAAACTTTAATTGTTGCAACCTTATCTAGAGCAATAGACAGGACAGAATGGTATTTATAAGATAGCTTGAGAGGGACAGGAGAGAGTTGTGAGAGGAGAAAGTGGAGATTGAAAAGGGTTAGAGAAGTGTCAGATCAAGGAGCTTAGATTTCTGATGACACATTGTCAGTGCAGGTGAGAAGATGTTGGTTAGGCAGAGGGAAAGGCGTGTTAGAGAAGTTAGAGACAGAGCAAAAGTTGGAAAAAACAAAGTCAAGACTATTGTCGGCTATGTGTGTAGGGGAGTTCAACCACCGAGTAAGACCAAAGGAGGGGTGATAGATAGAAGTCTAGATGCTATTGAACTTTTAGGTTGGTTAATAGGTATATTGAAGTAACCAAAGATGAGGGAAGCAATGATCAAGGAAGAGTAGATGAGAGCCAGATTGATGGTAGGTAATGGGAACACATGCTGAGAGAGAATTGAAGAAACAGAGTGGACTTCAAAAGATGAAAAACAGAGAGAAGGCAAGGGTAAGTTTAGAAGGAACAATGAGGGGAGAGGAAAAAACCCAACTCCACTACACTATTAGATAGATTCACTATGTGGTCTAATGCAATCTCATATATAATTTAAGCATAAGCTATATGCACAAACCAGTGTCAAAATCTTTATTACACTGAAAAATGCTCAGCAATAAAAAAAAGACATAAATTTATAAATATTGCACTTAAAATTTTGTTACATCACCACATTAGTCATTACAAAAAAACACAATCTCATGATTTTAACCCTTAAGGACCTCTAACAATCTATAATGTCATAGCAATCTTAGGCATCTGACATGTTCAGCTTTATTTACTAAAGTGAGAATTTTTGGGAATTCAATGTGAATTCAAAGGGAATTTAAAATTTAAGGCTAAAGAAGCTGAATTGGAAATACTCTTCAGCTTGGTTTAAAATTTTAAATTCACTGTGAATTAAATTTGACAATTCTCACTTTTGTAAATAGTTTGTGGCAAATCTATTTATTTCTTCCAATCGCCCTTTTTAAAAGGAAGTGATATGGGTGCAATATCCCTGTCACACTTAGTCCTGAAAAGGAAACAATTGTAGGATTAGATAAACTGCAATGAAGGACTAAGACTGCATCTAGTGGTTGTCAATCAGACAGCCACTAGAGGCACTTCCTGCTTGTTAGGCGACTTTTGGTTGACTTATTGACATTGGATGTCCTCACACTCTGCATGTCAGAAAGTATTGAGTCAATGCTTAATGAGTGTAGGGGATGGGGGCGCGAGGAAGGGGAGGCCAGAGGTGAGTATAGTGCTAGGAATACAAATTTGTAATTCTAGCTCTATAGTATCCCTTTAAGGTTTTTTTGTTTTTATAGCATTTCATGTTTCTGTCCCCATGGGGTATACTAGAAACAAACTACTTTTCTTTTTTTGTTGGCAATGGTTCAGTCAGAGCCAACATCAAAGGAAGAACTAAGTGATCTTGAAATACTCATGAGGCCCCTCTCAAGGGCCATCCCAGCCCTTTCACAAACAAACAATATATAGGCATATGGTCCATATGGCCCCCATATAACCATTGGGGACCTGTGAAAAAAATAAAACCTTAAAAACTTGGAAGAACCACAATCATGTTCATTCCCAAAGATATTTAAGGACCAGATTGGAATGACAGCATTGAATGTCACTGATCCTTAGCGGGTTAAAATATATAAATAAACAGCTATAAAGTAGTCAGAACCTAGAACAGTTCAGTTTACAATCTCAATGGGAGAAGCTTATATGGGAGCACATTCCTTGTTGGAGGAGCATAGAATTAGTTTTTTTTAAATATGCATCTTCAATTCTGCTGGATTTAAACGAGATCCATATCATCTGGCTCCTGAAACAGGGCAAGTACAGTCTCAGTAGCTGATAGTAATGCAATACTGCTAAGCCTCTAACATCTCTTCGATTTCAAAGAGTTCAGCATCTTCTGATTCTTTGTTTTGAAACTCATGACAAAACTGTTTGGGAAAACTTTGGCCCGGCCATCCTCATCAACCTGCCCCATGATGATGTAATTTAACCCTGTAGAAAGACACATTAACAACCAATTAGTAACATAGTATTGGTAATTGTATGTGATCAGGATAATCAGAATTCAAGTAATAAGTACATACATGTGGAACAACAAAACGCACAGAAGATTTTGTTACCAAAAAGATAAATTGTTGAAAACTTACAATAAAATTAGCAAAATTTAAGACTGCGTTGAATAGTTGTTTTGAAAATTGTACAACTAGGCTATAATCTTTGGCTGTTTTGGTGAAATATTGGTGGTTTGAGCTCAAAATTGCCAGTTTAAAGTAGAAACTACAGGTATGCTTGTTATATTGTGATAAATAACCATAATTGGAATGTTTGTTAGTAATGTCTGTTTCTATGCATAACTGTTAAAGATTTTCACTAAGTAATTAGGAGTTTATCATGGGAATTTGAAATTTATGGCCAAAACAGGCAAATTGGAAAACCCTAAGAGCATATATTCACTTAGAATAACTTACACAATACAATTAAAGAAACAAGTACAAAAGAGAACTAAGCAAAAAAAAAAGCAAATGAACAAAAAAACCATAACAACATCTTTCAAGATCAGTATATTGGTTGGTCACGTTTTTCATGATCCCCATATCCTGAAGTGTCACATTAAGATTTCTTTATTCTGTGATATACTTAAAAAAGACCTATTAATAGAACTACAGCCGTTACGGAGTGCTCGGTATTAAGTATTATTATTTTGTATTTATATACTACCAGTTAACCTGAGCTTTATAAACTGAACTATGAGTACGATAACATAATTGATTTTCACAGATGCAAAGGATATAATATAAAATATTCAAATGTTTTGTCGTTACTGACCTCTTCGTATAAGTGGGCACTGCTTGCAAACCACCATGATCTTGGCGCTCATAGTCTTGCCAGCTTGCTGGATTGCCAAGGTTCCTTCCTTGTAAACATTGATAATAGACACAGTTGCATACACACTGCCTGCTCTGCTAAGTGTTGTGATAATAGTACATGTTATCACTAGAGAAACAAAACAAAACATGGATATTTAGAAAATACCTGTCCGACCACACCTTCCACACCTCACTCCTCTGTCAGTTCCTGCATTGGCTTCCAGTTAGATATAGGGCTCAATTTAAAATTCTGGTGCTTGCTTTCAAATCTCTACATAATGCTGCTCCCACCTATCTATCCTCCCTAATACACAAGTATGTCCCACATAGGCCCCTAAGCTCTGCCGAAGACTTATGTCTATCCTCTGTTCGTACTCCCACCTCTGATGCTCGCCTTCAAGACTTCTCTAGGGCTGCACCATTCCTGTGGAACTCCCTTCCCTTCTCTGTTAGACACTCACCCAGTCTCCACTCTTTCAAAAAATCATTAAAAACTCACTTCATCACCAAAGCATTTGAATTAAACTGTTAGTAGCTCCCAACTGATTCATGTCTTGCAACGGCCATTAAAAAAAAAAAAAACAACACTAAAAGCCTTCAGTGAATACTATTCTACCGATCTACTTCTCTAATACTATCCTTACCTTTTTGTGTCACTTTACCCCACTCCCTCTAGCATGTAAGCTCATTGAGCACAGCCCTCAACCTCTCTGTTTCTGTGTGTCCAACTTGTCTGGTTACAAATACATGTTTGTTAATCCACTATTGTACAGCGCTGCAGAGTTTGTTGGCGCTATATAAATAATAATAATATTAATAATAATTTATGCTCTATTGATGTCTCAAAAAGATTACCCCAAACATCATAACCACAGCGGCCCGCTGTAGTTGCTATAATTCCAATTTGTAATGGGGCAAACCATTTTAAAATGATTCTTACTTAGCCCACACCAAGTTCCGAGGCTCCCTTCTGGTTTGGAGATGTATATCTTGTTTCTGCAGAGCTGGGTGCTGATGCCGTTGTCATTCAGTGGCTGAGAGTGACAGCTGACTGCTCTCAGCCAATGTATGACTTTCTATGCAATGCAATTTTAACAGAATTTACATTAGCTAGCCTCAAATGCCAGGTATTAGATTATAATCAGGGGCGTACCTAGAGCATTTGGCACCCGGGGCGGATCCTGTGCTTGGCACCCCCCCCAAAAAAAAAAAAAACCTGTAAAAGATGTTAAAGGTTTTCTTTAATTAATCCACACTCCTTAATTAAACCATACCCCTTAATTAATCCACACTAATTCATCCACACACCCTTAATTAATCCACCCCCTTAATTGATACACACACCCTTAATTAATCCACACTAATTAATCCACCCCTTAATTAATCCACTCCCCCATAATTAATCCACCCCCCATAATTAATCCACACTAATTAATCCACCCCCCATAATTAATCCATCCCCCCTTAATTAATACACCCCACTCACACACCCCCTCATACCTCAATCCACCCCCACCTCAATCCACTCACCCATACCAATCTCCCCACCAATCCACCCCCACCAATCCACCTCGCCTTTACCAATCCACCCCTATACCAATCCACCTCCATACTCACCACACCCCCATAATTAATACACCCCCCATAATTAATCCACTCCACCCTAATTAATCCACCCCCCATAATTAATCCACCCCCCATAATTAATCCACCCCTATAATTAATCCACCCCTAATAATTAATACACCCCCCATGATTAATACATCCCCAATAATTAATTCACCCCTATAATTAATACACCCCCATAATTAATATGCACCACCCCCATAATTGATACACCCCCATTATTAATACAACCCCCCATAATTAATATACCCCCATAATTAATATACACCCCCATAATTAATATACACCCCCCTATACTCAATACACATCCTATAATTGATACACCCCCATTATTAATACACCCCCATAATACTCATATATAATTCTATAATTGATACACATCCTCTCCTCTTTTCTCACCTCTTTCTCTCCCCTTTTCTCACTCCTCCTTTTCTCTCACCCCTCTCTCTCTCTCTACCTCTCTTTCTCATCACTTTTCTTTCTCATCCCCCTACCTTTGCTGTAGAGTGGCCGAGCCTAGTATAGTCCGCGGGTACAGGTAGCTGTTGTTTCCTGTACCCGGCCGGACTAACAGGAAGTGAACACACTGTGTGCACTTCCTGTTAGTCCGGCCGGGTACAGGAGACAGCTGCTCCCTGTACCCGCCGACTATACTGGGCTCGGCCACGCTACAGGGAGGGAGTGACAGGAGGGAGAGCTGAGCGCTTCCCTCCTGTCAGCCTCTCCTCAGGCTGCGCCCGGGCGGTGCGGTCCTCCCTCATGGACTCACCGCCCGGGCAAAGCTGCAGCCGACTGAGGCTCTCTACAGAGCGCTCGGGCGGCTGCAGCATGGGGGGGGGGCACCCCTGGTCATGGCACCCCCCATCCTGGTGGCAACCGGGGCGGACCGCCCCCCCCGGCCCCCTTAGTACGCCACTGATTATAATGCTTAATATATATATATATATATATATATATATATATATATATATATAGCTATGACCATGACTGATCTTGCAGCTTGGTCACTTTCCCTTTAAGATTTCAGTACTAAGTGCATAATACAAAGTCTTTATGGGCATAGGATGAGCTTTGTCTATTAAAAGTTATCAGTACCTAAGGCATTCAGTTTAGTGTTAAATTAATATTCAGAGAAAGCATGGTCTCATTGCTGTCCCAATAAGGTATTGCTTGGTAATGCATAGTGTTTAATCTATATAAGGAGACCAGGTCTGGCCACTTTCATTCTAAGGAATATCTAACAATATAAACAGTCTAGTCTACATTAGTAGAATATAAAATCAGTTCCTTTCTTTCCCAATTATTAGAAATTAACAATGTCTATCAAACCAGCATTTATGACTGCTAGACAACCATTTATCACGGGATATAACTCCTTGTAGAGTGCGAATTATAGACAGTTCCACCAAATTATAAATTGGACTCGTATATTCAAAATGGTACACATACATATGTGCAATCATTTTTTTAATAGGGCATTTTAAATCACCTTACTGAAAGAAACATGTTTTTTCTCCGACTGTGTATTTTTTCCCACATTTAACGGCCAAAAGAGATACAGACTGGTCCTTGTAGGATACTAATATAAAAAATGTTCCAGGAATATAACATGCCAGGTCCGGCAGCCTGAATAAAGATCTTTATATAGCAACACATCACCTTCTGTTTGGCCATTTGTGTTTAGACGACTCGCAGTGGACACATGTTTACTGTGTCCTTTTCTAAACATCTCAAGGAACCTTTTGAGCCTCAGATGCTTACAGAGGACACAGACCACTATCAAACATTGCTCTGTATGTTAATGGCAACTTACAACTAAATTCTATGCCATTTTGCTCCATTTACAGACACAGCCTCAAGTCAAAACGTAATTTTATTTCCGTACCAAAGTTACTTGAACAGTAATTGCTCTCCAAAGTCCCAGTCCTTTTGCATTTTTGTTGGCAAAGTGCAACGGTTGGTTTTAGATCTAAAAAATACAAAAGAAAAAACATATACTCATTTTAATTTATTTATAAGAATCACATATCCAGCATATATCTATACACATATACTCTACTCATTGCACAGAACAAAATTTAGCACTATATAAAACATTTTGTGACCTTGCTTCCTTTGGGTTAATTTGCTTAAAACACAGTTTCATAGAAAGTTAGTAAATAAAGAAAAATATTCAAACACTTAAGAAAGGGACATGCTAATATCTAAGAAATGTAATAATAAATCCAATAGACAAAACGTATATAAGACTTTATGTAGATCACTGCTTCCCAACCAAGTTCCATTAAAATTTATTTACAGTTCAGCCAAAAATGTAAAAAATTGTGGAATAAATTAATCAGAGGCACATTATGTAGCACTGAAACATTGTCGGTCTACAAATGATCCCTAACATTTATGGTCATGTGATTGCTGCTATGGCAAATCACACACAGGAAAATACTTCCATGATGTTTGCTGCAGGTCTCTGTCTCTCCTCCCATAACAATCGTGGCAAGAGACAAACAAAAGAGGGTCCCCATCAGCCGGGGTGTCTTTAAACCACAAAATTCAGGCAACAATTAAGTATTTGTACAAACAAAAACACGCTAGTACATGACTGCTGACTCCTTCGATCACCAAATATCATTACCCAATCCCATTACCCTTCTATTCCCAATACGTAACGCAACACCATGTTAAGTGGGTAACACAGTCACAGCTTTTTTTAAACCAGCACAACCAAATACTGTCAGCTGCTGTTTTTTTTTTCTTTTTCCTAATTCTTTATTTTATTGTGCATGAGAAAAAATTACAACCAAGCAGGCAATGCCACAAAAGTGATTGCCGGCGTATCTGTCAACATATATGAACAATTGCATGGCAAAACTAAACATTGGATTTATGTAATGTAGTTTCCTCAAGAGTAAAATCAACGTGTCAGTTGCAAGTGAGTGCTTAAGAGTTACAAATTCAGATTTCCTAACTGACTGTTGTGAGATTTTAGGGTTGCAAGCTTTACTATGGTCGTTCTTTGAGTATATTACCACCAAGCAGGATATGGCATATTGTGTTATAAGTGTCAATAGGCAGGAAAGTAAAATTAATATAGCTTTAACATTAAAAGTAACACTAACGGAGAGGAAGCATGCTTATCAATATCTACAACCACCACAACATCAGATGGGGCTAGCTGAGGTATATTGCTGAGTTTCCACCCATTTCATATAAAGGCTAACATACCTTACGGCCAATACCTTAGGGTAAAAAGAAACTGTTCCAACCCAGAAGACTTTGAAAGAGAGGCGAAAATTCTCAGACAGAGATTCAAGAGTCTAGGATACCCAAATCGTATTCTAAAAAAAGCCTACCAAAGAACTAAAACCGTTGACAGATCTGAGAGCTTACATAAACTCCCTAAGATTATTCAACCTAACGCTGGGGTCACCAGATTGATAGGGACTTATGATAAAAATTGGAATAACACCCTGCAGGTATTTAACCGCAATTGGCCATTACTCCAATATGATAAATGCCTCAAGAATACCATTACTACTAAACCTTCTGTAACCTATCGAAGAGCTAAGAACCTTGCAGACCTTTTGACTCAAAGTCATTTGAAACCAATACCAACTAAATCTACCTGGCTTCAGACCAAGGGTCTTTTTAGATGTGGGCACTGCAAGGCTTGTGACTTCATTTTACCATCTAAGGGAGTACGGAATCATAAAACTGCTAAAGACATCGAGGTGAACTCTTTCGTTAACTGTGGTTCTACCAACGTTGTTTACATTATTACATGCGACTGTGGATTACAGTACATCGGCAAGACGTACCAACAATTACGTCGACGTGTCCTGCAACATATTAATTCTATTTCCAATTTACATTTGGATACTCCGTTTGCCAGACATGTACGTACAAACCATGATTCCAGACCTAATGTATTCAAATTTCAAGTTATTCAAAAAGTTTTTTTGAACCACAGAAAAGGGGACATCAATATTGCCCTACTGAAAGCTGAATCCCGTTGGATTTATTTGTTTCAAACATTATACCCCAAGGGGTTGAATGAGGAGTTCAATTTTACTCCATTTATCCACACTTGATTAGATCTGTCTGTCTGGTTCTTTCTTTAATTTTATAATTCTTTACATATATTTTTTTGCCATTAGGGCTCTTTGCTGGTTCCCAGTATGTATCATAGCCGCAATTAGCCATTGTTTATACTCACTACATACAGTTCTTACTGAATACCTCTCCCCTTTTCTTTTTTTTTATAGTTTTTCTATTATATCTAATATTATTCTTGTAAGGTTTCTGACTTTATCTTGATCCATCATTCTTTAACAATGATGGACCTACTTTGTTCTATAGATTTTTTTGTTCTATCAGTTTGGACATGATGTCCCTATTTATTATTTCTCTATATATTTTTTCTGCAAGAACATAATTGACCTACATGTTCTTGGGCTATATATACATTCTTTGCCCTTAGAATTCACACTATAAGTTTGTTTTGATTATTTTGTTAGCTGGTAGAGCAATATTTACATAACTATTTATACTTTTTTGTGTATAGATTGTTCACCAATCATGTACTCGTCATGTAGTGATACCAATGTATCCGAATCTGCTTTATTGCTACTTTGCTGGACACAACTATATTTTCGTGGGTACTTCTTCTGACATAATATTTTGCTTCAATTTGTTTACTTAATGCTTTGATGATTCATAAGCTAATTGTTTCACCATTATTTATTTTCCGTGCCGGTTTCTCCGGCGATTTCGGACAAACCGGTTTCGGCATTTGACTCCGCCCCCCCTATCTGTGATTGGTGACCATTCAAACCAGTCACAGTGGAGGGCGGGATATTTAAACCTCGTCCGGCGTCTAGTCCGGTTCCCTTGAAAAGCCCTCGTGGCGAAACGCGCGTCGGGACTTTTTATGAGCGGGTGGTTAGAGACTTTGTGGGGACGATGCTGCAGCCAGAATTAGTATAACGTTTTAGACATCATCACCTTCTCTCTTGTTTATTATTTAGTTTTTTCAACCTCTGAGCACCTTCCTTTGAGGTTTTTTGTTTTTGTCTTTATTAGGCAGATGACTTCAGCCTTAGAATAATGGGAGTTAGGAGTCAGCAATTACTACATTAGGGTTATATAGCTTGACATTCTCTAGACTCTATGGGATGCTTTATAGCATCCACTAGATCACTATTTTTTCTATTTTTTGATACTACTGAGCTATTGCAGTAACTCTATTCTCCTCTCCCTTCCAGTAGGCCTTTTTTACTTATTTTTTTTACTTACTTTATTAGTTATTGACTTTTAGAAGGAATTTAATAAAAGTTATTTTTTATCATTAACCTTTGGGTTGCTTAACAATCACAGGGAACCTTTAGGATTTATATACATCTTTATTCCTGGTCTCTCTGTCTTTGTTCCTTTTCTCTCTTTATTTCGTTCTTTGAGTATATTACCACCAAGCAGGATATGGCATATTGTGTTATAAGTGTCAATAGGCAGGAAAGTAAAATTAATATAGCTTTAACATTAAAAGTAACACTAACGGAGAGGAAGCATGCTTATCATGCGGCAATTGTAGTCCGCCTTCATTGAGTCTCTCGGTTGTTGGGTGAGTATGGACACGGTTCACTTAGGAGGCCCCAGTAGTTGAGTAATGGCTTGTAGTGTCATCTAACAGTAAATGATTAATATTATGTAAATAGTAGCAGCCAGGAATGCTGCGGACTGTCATCCAATTAGGCGGAATGCACTTGCACTTACTAATACAGTCATCCATACTTTCCACATTGCCTCATTGCCAACAAATCCCCACCCCCTTTCCCCGTACACATACTCACAGTCTGTTTCTCTCTACTACATAATATGGTGGCCTCATGGGAAATGTACTGCCTTGTATAGATTAGACCTCCTTAATAAGTACAAGTAGGGTATATAGAGCATACATCTGTGTCAAGACTCAAAACTATTAATATGGAAAATGCTACTGAAATTAATAAATGTCTTTAATGGAATCTGGGACTTTACAGATCCATACACTCGATGGACACTTAAAAAGGTACGTAGGACTATTTTGTTTTCAGGTCAGATGGGTTTCTGTGAGTTTAAAATAGAGATGACAACATTTCATACAGATTTAGGTCCATGCTAGTTTAGCAGATTCACAAAATTCCTAATTACATTTCAACCATACATTTTGATTGATTGGTGATCTCCTGTTCTACCTCATCCCAGATGAAGAAACCAAAGACTCTAAAGGCCATTGGTCTGGTATACCAGTTATGTTCATTGACAGTTACTAAGAAGATGCATGCTTTGTGATTTGGTGTGCTATCTTTCTGTAGCCAGTTAGAAAATAGTTAGAATGTTGACACTAAGTAACACGCATGGTCTCCCTCACGAGTACCTGTACTGGTCACTACATGTCAAGTATACACATAATACACACACAGAGCACTACACTGTTTGTAAAGGGCAATGCAAGGAGAAAGCACATCTCTAATGTAGAAATGAATGGACTAGTACAGGGGTAGGCAACCTACGGCACTAGTGCCATGCACGGCACTCAAGGTGTCTTTGCACGGCACTCAAGGTTGCTAGAGCCAAACAGGCTCTGGCCTATCAGAAGTCCCAGTATAACTTCAGATATCTGCTAATACAAAGAGGTGGTGAAGGACAATCCTCAATTTATGCATTGCAGCACATAGAGGAAGTGATCTCACATCACTTCCTCCCAGCACTTGTGAATGGGAATCCACACTGTAGTAGAGCAGCCCGCAGCTGCTGTTGCAGCTTCTGTCCTTGACCTGTACCTGGCCAGTCTGGTGCCCACTGGAACCCAGGGAAGCCACCCACACTGCTAGATATACCCAGAGATGAAGAATAACCCTCGCCTCATACAAATAATATGAACAGCCCACAAACAAACACAACACACAATCCGCACAAATGTAACCCGCTAACAATCCACATACATGCACACAACCCCACATGCAGCCTTTCACAACCCCACATGCAGCCCCACACATAAACACACACTACCAAAAACACAATGTGACATATCCACACACAATTCCACAAGCAGCCCTCATACACAGCCCACATTCATAGGGATCATACACGATACCATAAACTACTAATGAACATATACAATATAATAGCTCATATATGCACAAATACAACAATACAAAGCAAGTACAGTAAAAATAACACAAGCAGGAGACTGCAACATACACACCTCAATTTAAAAAAAACTAGCCACAAATCACAATCTTATATCGGCACAGTGCTGCTAAAAGGTTGCCTACCCCTGGACTAGTATATATTTATAGAATGAATGCAAGCAGAGTGCAACAGTTTTCTTTTACTATGCACGTCTCATTTCCGAGCTTTTTTTGTGGTCAACCACAGAGGAATGTGTGAATAACAGGGCACTACTGGGAGATTACTGCCCTGTAATTCAGCCAATCTAGCCAGCATTATTTTTAGTATTCAACATAGAATTTCCAAAGCCACGCTTTGATTGCAAAGAACTCTACTAACATGAAAGAACAAATATCCTGCATACAATAATTGGGATGGACAGTTAACTGCTGGATGGCAAGCAAATCACAGTTTTTTAGTAAAAGGTAAAGACGTGAGCTAAGATAAATCTATTGACACTATAATTTAGTAAATGGGTAATAACTCATTATTATTGTTTTTTAGTAGAGTGTCAATATATTCTGCAATGCTGTACAATATGCCAAGTTAGTAATTTAAAGCAATGGTCAACTGAAACAGATATTTTTTTTTTTTTATATTTTTTAAAAGTCCTATTCTAGAGAAAGGCAGTTGGAATTAAATGGTTACTCCGGGCACCAATGCAACTTTAATGCATTTAATTGTTTTTGACTAAATTAATATTCTGGATTTTGCATGCTCTGGTCTTTATAGTTATTGCACAAAAACATATTTTGCAGAATGCTGCCCCAAAAGCCTGCCTCCTTCATCATGCCCCCTCATGCAAGAAAGACTACCTTATCATGTGTGTGCACTTGGCACAGCGCATAACATCACGGATTCATAACCTGGCTGCAGACAGTGAGCGTAGCAGGTAGTAATATCTTTACTGTATATCTCCCTGGGTGTCCTCTCCTTTTAATGCAGATTGTTTTGTTGTTCAGATCACTCTTTACTGTCAGTGGCTGAGCTTTGTGTATACATTTTAAATTAACTTTTTTTTTTCAACTGTATGCATAGTCATTTCTGCCACCCAAGCCTAGTGGTAGTTTGAGTGTAGGGCTTAATTTTGTATGTTTGTAATTTCTTTTGTATTACACAACCATGGTACAGTTCTGCCGCCCACCCCATGTGTTCCATATTCAGGGTTAATAAGTATGTAAGGGTATGGAAGACTGCCCCTCTCTGTCTCATAAGATATTTTGCCCTTTAGCTGAGAGCAACAAGATGAATTGATTGTGTAAAACTCACCAAAGAGGTTTTGCCTTGCTGTGGCAGGTGAATTTAGACTTTAATAGCCATCGGAGTGATACGAAAAAACTTCCAGTTATTTAAATGTGCATAGAGGTGAGCAAGTAACTTTTTTTTGGTAGACAGTATGTCATGTCTGAAGTCTGTACTAAAAAACAAGTGACTCATCTAAGGATTTCTCTGAGTTTTAGTTCTATCTAGTTAGTGTTCCCACCAGTAGTTTTTATAAATAGATTTACAGTAATGAACGAATAACCAGTGCTATTATTTTGTTAAGTGAGTTAAAAAGAGGCTCACATGAAGTTGTCAGAGATGACACAAGCAGGGTGGCTAATTCTGAGTTGAGAATTGCAACATTTTCTTACAGGGCATTCTCTGTGCTTTTAAAAGGGGTCATGGTGGTAGAAACCAGCAGGTGCAGTGCTTCCGCTTAAACACTGCACATACTGAGATATTGGCAGCCTGAGACTGCCAAATGTCAATTCTGTGCATACAATATGCCCATTATCAGCGCACCCTGCCATTAGATGTATTGATCATTTCCCTTGCAGAAGGAAGCGTGGATGTCTCCTTCTGCCTTCCCATGCGTGCGGCTGCTGTGATGTCAGTAGGTGGTGTGGAAAGTCAAGCCAGGAGCTTCCCTTGATATCGGCTAAGTAAAACATTTTTTTATTGTTATAGGGGTGAGATCTAAAGAATAACACCCAAGAGAGCATTATTCATTGAAAAAAAACATAGGTTATTAAAAAGGGTTGGAGTAAACTTTTAACTATCACATAAGTAAATATTTACAACCATCATGGAAATGAGCAAGCTGCAAGGACTACTAGTCATAGAACCACCCACGATGTATCCACAGAGTATTGCAGTCTTTGTACACAATATGCTCCTTTTAAGAGAAACTTGGCAAAAACTGGACCGCAAAAAAAGTGTCTTAATACATCCTACCATTAGGTTTTGTGGAGATGGCCATTCCTGTTTTACTTGGATCATCAACCTTGATATACAATTGCAAAAACTTTACAAAATATATGCTTATAGGGGTATTTACAAGAACCTCTACTTTATTTGACAAAATTACATATTCTAGAGAAGATCATATGGTCACAGAGTTATATTCTGGGTTTTTTTTTTACATAAATATCTTTTTAATTCTAAAACATGGTGTCTACGTAGACATGACTCTAGTTTATATATTCCTTTATGTGTCACATTAATGTGACTCAACGGATCCAGGAAATTGGAGTTTAACACATTCTGTAAAACTGACTCCAGTTATGTAATCCTGTAAAGCTTAGTCTTCAATCTGTGAGAAAACATTACACAACATCATTCTGGGCAGAAATAGCATGGGTTCCACAGGCTAAAGTATTACATAAAAATAAGTTTTATGGGGATTTAAAAACATTTTTTGACTCTAAACAGATAATTGAACACAGGGGCCTAAAAAGAAAGACTTTTTCGTTTAAGTAAACAATAGTGCACTTTGAATCGAGAATAACAGAATGATATTAGATAGATTGGTAGATATTGTCTGTTCTTCTCTCAGGCAGGACACACTGACACAGAGAAGGTTGAATTCCAAATGGGATGAATTCTCCTAATCTCTGACTTAGAAATAGGTCTTGGCCCCCACTAAATCAAAAAGGATGATAGGGAAGAGAATACAATATTCACAAACCTGGTCCCTTCTTGACAAATCTCTAGGTTTAAAGCAACTGATGTCCATTATTGGTGGATACAATGGAGTGTATCCAAAGAAAACAAAACACTAATAAATTCAAAAGCTTCAGTGTAAACTTCATGAGAAGCACATCTCCCTGTACTCTAACCCCATGTTCTAACAGATTCTACTGTTTTAAAAAGACAGCCTAGAATGCTGTCTTCTTAGCATCTACCATCTGTGATAGCCACATGTATGTGTGGGCAATGGTGTTTGCATGGTTCTCTTCTATACCAAGTGGTAGTCTGGACTGTATCAATCACTCCCATACCGCCTAAATGTCCCAGGCTTGGCAGACCAGGCCAAATTCTGAATTATGCCCCACCTTCCAAGGTTTGCTCCCTGCATCTGGAGTCACGAGGAAAATGTCCTCAAACTGTGCAGCGTGATGGATGTTTAGATGCTCTCACTGTGCGCTAAGTAACCTTCACGAATACTCTGTACATGTTCTTCCCTGAGGTAAGTTGGCTAGAGTGCATAACTGAAAAGCCCCGGGGAATGACCCAGTTGTCATGGTACATATTGATACCAATGACAAAATTAGAGGAAAATGCAGGACCTTAAAGAATGAGTTCAGGGAATTAGGTAACAAACTTAAAGAAGAGGACCTCCCAGGTTGTATTTTCTGAGATATTATCTGTGCCGTGCTCTACTTGGAAAGGCAGTGGGAGATTAGAGAGGTCAATGTATGGTCTTGGTGTAGGAAAGAGGTTTTGAGTTTTTAATGCACTGTATGTGTACGATTTTGCACTTCAGTACAATCTTTATAGACATGATGGTTTGCACCTAAATGGTCTTTTGTGCTGGTGGAGAGAATGGTTAGAAGGTTGAATGAGGCTTAACTCTAGAAGTTGGAGTAAAAGAAGGGTAAATGTGGTAGATAGTATAGAAAAGAGAGTGAATGGGGGAGCTTGAGATATTGTCATACAAGGAGCAGTATGACATACTTGGGATTACTGAGTCTTGGTAGGATGAAATAATTAAGTGGGTTATTCATTTAAATGGATATACATTATTGAGATAGGATAGAAAAGGGGACTGGATATGTCTTTATATTAAACCTGTTTTGAAGCCAGGTGTTATAGAAATTGAATGTGAAGATACAGGTGAGAATGTGGAAGCCTTATGAGTAACTGCTATCCCAAATTATTAAGGCTGCACACATTGCTAATTTGTTAATAATAGGAGATTTTAAAATCCAGATATTGATTTGGCCAAATGGACTTGTATTACATTTGAGGGGGAAAATTTTTTGGAACCTGATAAATTATAATTTTATGTCTCAATTAGTAGAAGCGCCCGCTAAAAGAGATGCTTGTCAGGATCTTTTCATAACTAATGATGTCAACTTGGAGTACTTGGGAAACAGTGACTACGATTTGAGATTAAGTAAAAAAACAAAATGGAAATTTATATGGGCTAAACATAACTGGAGTTTGTTTATGGGCTAAACAAAAACACTTAATTTTAAAAAGGCTAAATTCAATAGGACAAAAGCCTCTTTACAACTAATTGGCTGTCAGTAATATTCACTGGCAAAAGCACAGAGTATAAATGGCAGGTTTTTAAACAACTTCTAGAAAAGTACATTTCTCAACACATACCATCAGGAAACAAATATAAAATAAGTAAATTAAGCGTGGTTTAGTACAAGGGTCATAGTCAAGGCCAAGGCAGGAATTCTAAATAATATTTTTTCTTCAGCATATAGGGAAGAAAGATCTATGGCTGTAGATTTGCAAATCCCAGTTACAAAAGCTTCTCAGCCAACAGTTGATTGTTTAACACAGGATAATTGTTTCAGAATTAAATAAAGTAAACAAAGAACCAGGGCCAGATGGTATTCACCAAAGCATGATCAGGGATTTTAGTGTAGAAATCTCCATGCCACTGTTTTTAATTTTTCAGAATTCTTTTCTTTTCAGGAATTGAACCAGAGGATTGGAAAAAAGCAAAACTGGTGTCTATATTTAAAAATGGTTCAAAAGCTTAAACCAGAAACTACAGACCCATGATCTTAACATCTGTGGTTGGGAAATTATTTAAAGGGCTATTAAGGGATAATATTCAAGAATTTATTTTGAACAAAATATCATTAGCAGGAATCAACATGGTATTATTGAAGACAGGTGATGCCAAACTAACTTAATTGCACTTTACGAAGAAGTTAGTAGAAATATAGATAAGGGTCATCCATTAGATGTAATTTAATTGGATTTTGCTAAGGCATTTGACTAGTAAAACTGAAATCTGTTGGCTTTGATGAAAAATGTGTTCTTGGATAGAACACTGGATTAAAGGTAGAGTGGAGAGAGTAGTTGCAAATGGAAAATGTTCAAACTGGACAAAAGTGGTAAGTGGAATGCCTCAGGGTTCTGTCCTGGGTCCACTTCTCTTTAATCTGTTTATATATGATCTTAAAGTAGGCATTAAAAGTATTTTGTGTGTGTTTGCAGGTGACACAAAACTAGGTAAGAAAATAAAGTCTGAACATGATATATCTGGGGACGGAGCAGGCTAGTGTCAGATGAGATTCAATACAGAATAATGCAAAGGCATGTATTTTGGAATAAGGAAACCACAAGCCACTTATACATTAAATGGGGTTGAGTTAGAGATAACATTAAACGAAAAGATTTTGGGCAAGGCTAGAAAAACTGGATTTAGATTCTTCAAATAATATGATATGACAACACTATACAAATGTATATAGAGTCAGTACAAAATCGCTATGTGCTAACCTATTCCATTCTTAACCTACGTCTTCATATTATTAAAATGATTATTTATGATATTAAAAAAAGCTTTTGGGTAGACAGATATCAGTTAATAGGCGCTCCCCTTAGTTTGTTTGAGTAAACTGCAGTAACTGCAAATAGTAGCTACTGCCCAGGAGTAGCTTACACTAACTTCAAACTTAAAAATATTTTAAAAAGTATTCGTTATGAAAGACATGTAACACTGCAGATTTGCCATTATTTGTTATGCCTATTCTTTTACACCTGCACAGTAGCCACTGGAATATCGCTATGTGTGTATGCATGTGCAAATGACTATATTTACAATGTCACTGAATCTGAATGCAGAGCTAAAATTTCACATCTACCTTTCAAGACTTTGGTGTTAATTAACTATACACTGTGTTGTGGTCAACTGTGTTGATAGCCATTTTTTAAATTCAATAATAAAAGTGGGTTTTCAATATCCCACAATCCACTATTTAGTAAGTAAACCCTAGTCTCTTTCATGAAAATCTGCTTATTTCAACATAAACAACATATGTAGTAGTGGGAGAAGTTTGTGAGGACATCTGCATGCATCATGTTGCTCTGACGCACAGAGCAACACAATATAATGTACAAAATGAAAACTGACACTCACAGGCAAAGAATGATCTGAAAAATACCACTCATATTTACGCTGGTTTAACCAATAAATATCATAACAATGTATATACTGTTTTTACTGCATATCTAAAAATTTCAGAGATTCAATTTTATGATGTTTAATTTAATAATACACTTATTTAAAGCATTTAAAGCGTAAGCACACTAAAAAAGAAAAAAAATAGTAAATTAAACAGCTATTTAATTGTTGGTCAATTATTCTTAAAATAAGTGAAGAATGCAATGGAAATGCTTTGACCATAGTCTTTGCTTACTATAGCTATAGATTTTATACAGTTGGTGATTTGGCATTTAGGCAAATAATACATTTATATTTCCTTAACATGCCAGAAATGGATTGTAAATTAAGAGCAACAATTTCTTTAACATAAAAAAGGAAGCAGTGCAAAAAAAATGCTCTTTTCTGGCTTTCAGAAAAAGCAAGAGAATCACACAAACAATTTAGAGGAGCGGTCAAAGAAAAATGGAAAATAATGAAAAAAATTTACGAATCTAGAATTATTTAAACAATTTTCTGATGCTAATTTTTTTTTGTGTATAATAAATCATAATAAAAACAAATTCAAACTATAAAACAAAATACTATAATACCTTCATATATATGTAGTATACATTTAACAGGTATTAGTTCACATAAAAGCAATTTACAATATATAAAAAATTGTGTACTACGTATATTATATTCATACAAAGAAATAAAAAAAAAAATACTATATCATCCAGAGGCAGGAAAAACTCAAAATGAATTATATAATGTCACTGACCCAAAATTACCATATCTAATATAATCACCCTATTGCTAAATGATACTGTTTTACGGAACACAGAATACATCATAAGTTCCTACGTTCAGGTAATAATCACAGGCTGCAGAAAATGCAACTTGAGATTAGTGCTACTACTTAGTTATTGCTAATAAGCTTTGCTGAATGGTAACTGATCTTACAGTAATATTTAGGAATCTTGCTTATTCTTATCATAAGGAGTATCAGACTTCAAAAGGAAACTTGTGGATACAAATCAGTGATTTTCCATTAACATGTCATTTTCTTATCCATCAAGCATTCTTTTATTATTATTATTTTTTTTTTTTTTTAGTAGGGGGTGGTGGGAAAGATTAGTATCTGTACTGTTTAAAAAGGACTTTGTTTTACATGGGTCATAGGTTGCTATGTAAAACCTTCATATTAATGTGGTAAACATTTATGAGATTATGAAAAAAAAATAAAATAAATGAAAACCTACTTGCGGTTGTAGGGGCAGCTGTGGTAACAGGAGAGGCTGTGGTTGTGGGTAACTTTTTGGGTCTGAATTTGTAATGGCTTATGAAACCATCTGCAGTTAAACTTAAATCAGACAAGAACTGAATGAGGAGTTCATTTCGTTCAGATACAATGGGCCTGGAAAGAGGACAGAAGAAAGGTCTTTCAAACACCATACATATTTAGGTTATAAAATATATATATTTATATATGCAAAAATAAACACATTGCTAAGTAGTAATCCTGACTCAATGTAAACAGCACAGATTGATTGATTTGGCCGCATTTGATACCTGCTTCGGAATATAGCCGTGGTGTATTTATTTATGAACAAGTCTACTATTTCAGATTTATGACAATTGTTGGCTGTTTAACCCAACATAAAAGCTATGTTACATCTATCCAAGTAGTAATAGTAGTTCACAACCTCTTAAAGGGGCAGTCTAAGCTCCATAATCACCTGAAGTCATTACGGTGCTAACAGACTGTGGGCACTGTCCCCTGGTTTTTGGTCTGTTTTTGAACAGTTTGAGACACCCATGGCCTGGACTCCACTGACAATGCTGCTATTGCAAGTTCCACTTGATTTCTGCATTATCACTACCGATGTAATCCATATTTAATGGCAATGATAGGATGACCAAGTCAGCTGACACTCTCAGCCAGTCAGTGCTGTCCAAATAGGAACAATATTTACACTGCTAATGTGAAAGTGGACAAAGTAGACAGACATAGGATATTGGAATGCCCCATATTTATAGGTAATATCCTCAGTAACGAATAATATCATTCTAACATTGATAGGGTTTATATGACAGTTTTACACTTGGCTGTTATATATTATGCTATGGTAGGTAACTTCTAAATTTACCCTTTTCCCCTGACTTCTTTGCTTTTCTGCACTGTATAAGTTAGCAAAGTAAAAAAAAACATTGCTTCTATCCATTATCCTACTAGAATAGTATTAGCCAATATCTATTAAATATTACATTGCCAATCGGAAGAAAACATAACATTCGGGAAAAAAAATTCTGAAGTTAGTCATAAACATTTATGATAGTTTTGAGGTTTTGCATAATAAAAGTGATGTTGTACAAATATTAATTTCATGAAGCAAAATTGAGCGGCAACATGTGGTCACCTTGTAAAAGATGGGCATGTAAAACAAAGATTACAGCTGGACAATAAAAATTAAAAATAAAGCAAACCTGGACTACATAAAAAGAGCCTATGTTTGAATAAATGGAAATTAAAAAAATTATATATTTTCTATTAAAGCTTTTTATGTCTGATTACGAAACGCAATTTCTCGAGGGAAATTGTGCTAAATATCTCTCACACAAGTGCCACAATATCAACTGTGAATGAAAACCTTTGTATTTGAAATACATTATATACAGCTGTTATATTGCTTGCTCAGTATACTGTGAGTGTTATATTGTTTGTAATCTGATCATTTTCATTAGGCATATGATGCGATGAGAATTTTTTTTTTTTTTCTTTAGATTTTTTTTTTTGTTTACATTCTTTAGAAGGGCAGCCAGGGATGTATTTACCACAAGGCAAACAAGGCATTTGCCTAGGGCGGCACTTTCAAGGGTGGCGCCAAAAATTGCCACCCCAAGCTCCCAGACAAAGCCTTGTTTGCCTTAATTTTGGGGCTGTCCACCTTACTGTGAGTGAGTGTAGCTGTCAGTGTGTGTCTGTGAGTGAGTGAAAGTGTGTGTGTTTCAGTGAGAATGGGTGTGCCTGTGAGCGTGTGTCAATGTGTGTATGTCATTTTATATGTATTTGAGAGTGTGTGCCTGTCAGTGTGTGTCTGTTAGTGAAAGTGTGTGTTGGTTAAACAGTGTGTGCCAATGACTCTATGTGTGTGCCAATGACTGTGTATCTGTCAGTGAGTGTATATCAGTACACGTATCAATGAGGACATGTGTCTGTCAGTCAAAAAAATGGCCTTGACAGGAATTGGGGGGGGCAAATTTAGATTTTGGGGGTGCCCAAATTTAGTCGTGCCTAGGGCAGCACAAATCCAAAATACACCACTGTGGGCACCATGTATTTATATGTTTTGTGCATTTTACTTTGCTTCTTCACAATTGATCTTGATTTTGTCTGAGCAAATTTGCAAATGACACAGACTGCTGACATTAAGCGCAGATTCCATCCTGGTAGCAGAAAAGCATGTAAAAGTTATGTTAAGCTGGATGTAATCTCCTACAAAAAGAGTACATGATTTTATGCAACTGTGCCCACTACTTTTTCCATGGTTTACAAATCATTCCCACTGCGCCTTGTACTATGCAGACTTGCTCTGGATTGTATGTTTGCCAGAGAATCCACTGTGTGGCCCTAGCAGCCACTTTTTACAATGCGTTGCAATGGGAATACTTTAATATAAAGCAGGTCTGTCATGTAGGCAAACAGCAAACATATAGAGTGTAACTTTTTACTTCAAGAGAAGTGATATCGACACAATGCTCTCTGTTTAGTCCCATAAAGCAAGCAGTGATTGTGCTTGCACGTATTTCCTTATAAATAATGAACCATGCCATAGGAAAGCACCCAACTCATACAGGCCTTCTTCAACCAGTATAACCGAGGATACAAGGGCATAGCTTCCAACCTTGCGAGATATAACACAGGACATAGGGGGCATGACAGTGATGCAACATGTGTAAAAAAGTTGAACATTCCTGACCAGAGAACATTTGGGGCCATCCAAAGAAGGAATGTGTCAGCCACTGAGGACAGACGATGCAGAGAGTGCAGCTAGACCACTCTCATCGTGCTGGGACAGTTCTCTGGTTGGATGCAGAGACAAAATAAGGATTCCTGGAGCAGACCCCAAAATAAGTATGACTTAAAGTGGAACTGTTTGAGTAGATTTATTACAAGTATTTGAATAATGTTATTTTTTTGAGTGCGTTGAAAACATATTCCAGATTCTGTGTATTAAAACTAGGCTGAAAAGTGTTGTCATTCTTTCCCATCATGGTTTTGCATCATTAACTAAGAATTATGTGCAAATATGCTGGGTGTTTTCTGTCTCACTTTTTACAACAAAATAAAACTGCCACAAAAAAAAAATGACAGAAAACAGAATACTCTTTTGGTGCAAAAAAAAGATGTGTAAAGTTTAATAAATAGAATGCATTACACAATAAATGGAGTGCGCAAAAGAAATACATAATAGACAAAACCATCAGAATTGATCATGTGTTCTAGGACGAATTTTCAAAAAAGACAGAGGTTACTCAGCAACACACAGAGTCTTTTACAACCCCTAACTCACACTGACACTATGACCCCCATATTAATAAAAGGGAGGTCAAATCCTCCCACATGCCCCTACTAGCAGCATGCCGCGAGTAGGGGCATGTCACCTAAACAAATGTAAAAGTACTAGTGACTGGGCAGCTATTGGCACAGGTCCCCCTATTCCCTCATGGTGGGGAACACAAATAACTAAAATCAGGAGGACATAGTGCCCTCCCCAGGCCCCCACCCATGACCGTCGGGTGGGGACCTTAATTAAATAAATAATTGGGGGGACATAATGTCCCCCCCAAGTCCACACCCATGAGCCGCGAGGGGGGGGGACCCTAATTAATTAAATGACAGGAATTGACTAATTAAATTTTAATTTAGTATGAATTCATTCGTACGAGACGAAAATTTCACTGGTGCACATGTCTACCCACTAGCACAACAAGCTGGGAACAACTCTCTTTAATGCAATCTTCCCAATGCTGGTAGCATATCTAGAAGAATGAGAATATATGAAGGTTAATATTCAGTGTATGTCTGTACCCTTATGATGGGCCCCTACTGCTCCCAACAAATGGGTTTGTTTAACCCCTTAAGGACCAAACTTCTGGAATAAAAGGGAATCATGTCACACATGTCATGTGTCCTTAAGGGGTTAAATATGAGTATATCTGGCAATCCAAATAGAAACAAATGAACAATATATCAGCAGACTCATGGGCATCCGCAGAATGTAATTCCAGAATATAAGGTGACAGTGGACTATGTTTAGTTTATATATTATAAAAATAAAACAAAGAGTTCATTATTTACATATACTTTTTTAATAGAGTACTAGCCCGAATAATATAGTAATATTTGGGTTGGCGCCAGATAACACTGGACGCATTCAGAGGTCTTGTGGAGTCCATGGCTTGACACTTCAGAGCTGCTTTGACAGCACGAGGGGGGCCTAGCCGGTATTAGACAGGTGGTTTTAATGTAGATCAGTGGCTATTCAGTTGATTTGGTTTTGCCTAAAGCTTCAAACAGTACTTACTAGTTTCTCCGTCTTTTCCAAGTTTGTGGGAATGGTGTAAAACTCTACACCCATAGCCTGAGTCTAGCACAAGCCAAATCCCCAATGCCAATGCCATGCTGTCCTCATTTTGTGGACACTAGGGAAATGTCCCCAACAACCATAGTGTGAGTGCATCATGAGACACGCTTGCACTATGTTCAGGGCACTAGGACTCTCTAGAGAGAACTGAAATAGTGCTCCCTGCAGGGTCCGACCTCAAGTGGGCTGGCCATAGATTATAGAAAGACAGCCTGGTGTACATTCATGCCAGGCTGACCTGCCAGTAATTTGGACGGAGAAGCCCCTTGTCTCTTAGAACTCCTCCTTAAAATAGAAAAAGTAGATCAAGCAAAGATCTGACATATCTTACATCCATTATATGTAACTCCAGTAAGGCGTTTTACCATCCGCTTTGTGTTTATAGAAGGATTAAGAAGTTGCATTTTTTAGCTATCTATTGATTGGGTATACTCACGCAGGTGGACTATCTCCGCAGAATTTTCCAATCCTCTTGGCATCATTGATCTCTCCTCCATTAAACACAGCCACATAATCGTAGCGGCAGTAATTGTCACGTTCCACATCAAACTTTTCAAACTTTAGCTCTATCACCTATAAAAAAGGCCAATGGAAAATATTTTTTTGATTACATGTGATAAAAAACAAGGTATACTTAAAGAATATCTAATGCAACATTTCCATATTATGGAATTTTTAAAAGGTGCATGCAATAACCATGTTAACTTACCTGATGTTTTGGAGCAATAATATGCCATACACAAGTGACCCCAGCAGGATAGTCACGATCTGGCCAGTTAGGGGTTTTAAAAGACCCTGTAGGTTTATCCAGGCGTCCGCCACAGTACTGATCTCCTGCAAGGATTCAAAATAATAAAAATTTATGCCCTGGTCTGAAACAGATGAAGATATAAGAAGATATAAGGAACAGGGACGTATTAGCCTCGAGGCAAACAAGGCATTTGCCTTGGGCGGCATTTTCCAGGGGGCGGCAAAAAACGCCACCCCCCAAAATGCCCAGGGCAAATGCCTTGTTAGCCTCGCGGCTAACTGACATGCTGGGCTGGGCGGGCGGCGCTGGGCTGGCGAGGGAGCTCTTCCTCTTAGTTGTCTGCTCGGCTCCCTCGCGCACCGCAGAGTGAGGCTGGGAGCCAGAATATGACGTCATATTCCGGCTCCCAGCCTCACTCTGCGGGCGGCGCGCGAGGGAACTGAGCACACAGCTCAGAGGAAGAGCTCCCTCGCCAGCCCAGCGCCGCCCGCCCAGCAGCCACTGGACCACCAGGGAGAGAGGGACCACCCCCCAGCATTCCCAAAGGTAAGGAGGCTGGTGGGGGTTAAAAAAAAAAAGTGTTAATGTGAGTGATTGTGTGTGTCTGACTGTGTGTGTGTGTCTGACTGTGTGTGTGTGACTGTGTGTCTGACTGTGTGTGTGTGTGTGTGTCTGACTGTGTGTGTGTGTCTGTGTCTGACTGTGTGTTTGTGTGTCTGACTGTGTGTGTGTGTCTGACTGTGTGTATATTTAGAAGGTGGGGCGGGGGGGAAGGGTTGGGTGGGGGTGGCGCGGGGGGGGGCGCCTGAGTTTTGTCCTGCCTAGGGCAGCACAAAACCAGGATACACCACTGATAAGGAATGAGTGGCTCTGCCCATTTTTAGGTATTTAGTTTATGACCATTTATTTGACGTTGTACTTGGATATTTGAAACACATAGTCCAAAGGTCTGAATCCTTCGCATAATTTTCCGCACACATATAAAAATATGAAACATTTTGTCATATTTGCTATATTTCTGTTGACAGATTGATGCTCTAATAATATTTAACGCTGAACATGGTTTGAGTTTAAAGAAACATGTGCCCTAATGCTGTCCATGATAAGATTTCAAAGAATTTAAATGCAGTTTGACAACTTACCTGGGTCCTGCCAGGCACCACAGCTGCATCATCTTCATCCAGTCTTCTCCAGCAGGTGAAAAAAGCTTGAGGAAGTACTGTGCTCATTGAGCACTCAGTGGACACATCCAGTCAATGTATGCGGTTCTGCATAGCTCTTAGAGCAATCTGAATTTTCCTTTTAGAGAAGACTATATACATGGAATGCAGCCACAAGTGCCAAGTGGGACTCAGGTTTGCATCTTTCCATGGTAAGGCGTCAGAGCTCTCCTGGTACCATACCCACTATAGCAAGCTGCAGTAGTTATAGTGCTTAGAATGTTACTTAAAGTCTATAGCGATGCTTAATACATTGACCCACAATAGCAGCTTGGCAGAATTAACTCTCAATTAATAGATCAAATTGAGTGTCTTTAAGGGACTGTCCGTGTGGACATTCACAACATAGAGGAAGTTGGCACCAATCGTTACAGTGGACAAACTCATAGTCCATAAGGAGACAAGACTTGGCATGGAACTATTTGTTTTAGTATACCTATTTTTAATAAATCTATACTGAGTGCACACTATGCTAACTTGCCTCTTTGATGACAGCTGATATATTTACTCTGAGGATTTGCTTACTGTTTATAGAAATGTAACATACTTCAAAAAGTATCTCTAAATTACAAACTGTAATACCTGCATACCTGCAAGTAACTTTTTAAGCCCTTAAGGACAGGAGCAATTGTCCAAATTCTGAACCAAAACAAAACCTTGAATTTAAGCTATACGTTTGTTCCACCGTAATTTAAGGGATTCTCTTCAAGTGCCACCGTACATATTCTATATCATTTTTAAGGGACAGAAATGGATTTCATTTAACATTCTATATATTTAACTAATGCAACATTACATGTGAATAAAATGGTAAAAAAGGGGAATTTAATTTTTTTTTTTTGCTTATAATAATTTTTGCACATCCAGTGTAACTAATTAAAAAGAACTCAAAATAGATTCATATATCAGTCCTGATTATTAAACTCCTATTATGTTCAGAATCTAATTTAGTTTTTGATTGTTAACACTAACCCTATACCATCCCCAACACTAACGCTATATACCAATCTTTCCCCTTACCCAATGCTTCCACCATATGCCTATCTAATCTTACCCATAACCTTAACCCTGCACGGTCATTAACCCTAAAACAACATTAACCCACCTCCAACATTAACCCTACACTAACCATAACCAGACAGCAGAAAGAGGGAAACCTTAGTTATCCGTGACTGATACATGGTGCTTCCTGGTGTGAGCAGGCATTTAACCCAGCTCACACCAAATCTGCAGTGTGTTCTATGCCTCCCCACAGGCTTTTAAGTAAACATTATGTAGGATGGCATAGAACGCCCTAACATCCTTAAGGGGTTAAGCTATTTCCATCTGTATCAATACATTTTGTTTTCTGTCTCTGCTTCTGCTTTTTGAGTAGTCACAATTATCTGTTTGTATGATTGTTTTCCATTGTTTCTGCTACTTGTGGCGCCAATATATCAGTTTTGCACTATAATTAGTACTTAAAATTCTCTAATGACAGGATGTATTTGTTAAATCCTTTGCTTGGCTCCTATTAATTACAAGATTAGCATTATGAGTTTTGGAAGATTTTATAATATTTGAGGAAGCATTTAGACCACAAACAAGGAAGAGGTGGTATGGGGAATATATTTGGTTCTAACAGTAACAGATGTTTAAATAAATAATCAAAATATAGAATCATCCCCTGACACTTTAGGGTATGGCAGTGTACCCGCATTATCCTGTTTGTAAACCCCTATAGGAAGATGGGAGCCTATTGCCTATTATGGGACACTCTAGACCTCTGTAGCACTTTAGCTTATAATAAAATGACTAAAAATATGTCACTTTTTATGGATGATTGTATATATAAAATTATTTTATTGTATAATTTCTTTTTCTTTTTATTACTTTTCCACCATTTTATTTTATCTTTATTATTAACTTTATTTATTTATTTCTCGTTTGCTTATTTTTTTTTCATTATATTATTAATAATTTTATAGACTCATTGTTATTAATCTTATGTATTATCAATTTGATTATTATTATTATATTGTATGGATATATATTTTAAAAACCCAATAAAAACATTTGAAACAAAAAATGCATATTTTATTGGCACTTTTATCAATTAACTTTGTTACACCACCTTGGCTGTCAATCAGACATGTCCTGTTACTTCCTAGTTTGGTTAGCTAAACTCAAGAGGCAGCAATTGCCCCAAGCACCTGCCTTGCAAAGACTTCTCATTGAGCTGCATTGGTAAGTCTGTGATTGGACAGCCAGAGAAAGTCTGGGCTGGGAAAGAAGGGGAGTGTGACTGAGCTCCCATGCTACGACTGAGTACCTCCCCCCAGGTCAGCTTCCTAGCTGCTATCTGGGATTATGGAATGCTTCAGCCCCAGTCACCAAAGCTTGACTGAGGTCGCTAAGAACTTCTTACACCCCGGACCAGTCTACAGCTCTCTCCTTCGAGGCAGGTTTTGTCCCCTCTGCTGTTGGGGCACTTGTTGCTCTCAGGCCTAGCTCTTTTTTTAACTTGTCCTGGGCACCAGGAACCAAGGCAGGCAGCCAACAGGTCGAAAGACTCTGTTACTGGGATCCCTTAATAAACCACACAGGACACATAGTACCCAATGGAACTAACACGCAATACCCTATAGTCACTTAGGACTACCCCTACCCACATTTTATGTAAGAGTTATGGTGACACACTCAATCAAATACATATAACGTAATCATATGGGGAAACATAATAACACATTAGCCTATTTAAAAAGGGGTGGGAAAGATAATGACAAACAAGAAATCTGCTCCCTGCCTTTAGAAACCATAATATGCAAATCTACCTAAACATGCAAATTAAGAAGCCTTGTTATTCAGGTAGTGCAAATTGCTGTGTCAACAGATGGCGCTGCACGGGTTCCACAGCCAAATTCGCCTAGTTGGTAAGGGGCATCAGCAGGGCAGGAGAGCACATAAGACATTTAACAAGTAATACACATCCTGCACCTATAATGGACACAGGGTGACAAACATAGGAGTCATCTGGGGACCTACTTGAAGTGACCATCTTAAGCTTTCAGTGATGGCGACTGCTCTCACATGATGGGCTTTTTATAATTGTTATATTTTTTAATTATTATTTGTGTAGTGGAGTGTCTCTTTAAGTCATCCGTGATGCTAGGTTGGGGCTGTAGCTCTGGTTTTGTGACTTTTTAGTCCCAGATCTCTACAAGTAATGGAGGGCATTGGAGGATTTTAGTGTTTTATTTTTAATCAGGCTGCTGCTTCTCAAAGCAGTTTCCTGAGATAAAAAGGAAGATCACTAGTATAGTGCTCTGCAAGACTACTAAGGAAGAAAGGGCAGTGCTTCCCCCTCCAGCCCGATGACTGTCTGAAAAGGGTGCTTGGGAAACATTAGCTTGCTGTACACCCCTATATTTGTCAGGTAGCATGGTTGGATCACATTAAATTCCTGGCTGGCCACCATGTGTGTCCTTCTTGCTGTGCTTTCATTAAGAGCATCAGCAGCATGCTGTTTATAAGGAAGGACGGGTCAAAATATGTTGCCACCCTTCTGTTAGTTTAGGGGTCTTTGGGCTTTAGCGCCAGATGTTTCTGGAAACTAGCAATATTTTAAGTCAGAAAGTTCCAAGGAGATTGTTTTTCAGACACCAAGTTAGCAGTTATTTTACGCAATCAATGTGTAAATAATTGGGAATTGCTGGTTTATGACATGTAGCTGGTGACTTGTGACTTGCCACCAGAAAAATTGCTGCCATTAGGATTGCATTCATATTTACAAATATATATATACATTAAATCCCATTGTTTTGTTTGGGAAACACTTGAAAACAGAAATTTTAAATAGTATACGGATTTCCATTTGTTAAATGTAACTCAATGTATATTATTACAATATTGGACTGACATTTGTCTCTTGGATACACAAAAAGAAGACACGCTGTTACAAAACTGGAAACCATTTGAGAAGAACAACATACCTCTCTCATTTGGCTCTGCTGCAGAAAACATTGCAATAAAACCATTCCCAGCTGTGTTGGCATCTGAAATCATTTGGACCAACATCTTGTTGCTGTTGGATACAAGAGCTCCAGGCCTAAATGTGCCACAGAACCGTCCAATACGCTGCCCATTTGCATGGCCATTATATACATCCACAAAGTCATATCTGCATAAGTTATCACTTTCCAAGTCAATGAAACGGAAAGACAGGACAACCACCTTACCCTCTGGCACCTGCATAAAAGAAAAAAACAGATAAAAAGAAGCTTGTTACAACGCTTCTATCCATATTCTGCTTTTCATATATAGTATACACAAAAAGAAAACCTTAACAGAAACCTGTCAGACTTATCTGGTCCTCAACTGCCAAGGCCGCGATCTCCTTACAGAGGTGGGTGATACACTTCTATAACAACCGCCTCTGGTCTGCTTTGCCCCCTTTTTTTACTCCTTTCTGGTTTGCCCTGCATGGAGAAGCTTCCCCAAACAGGCCAAACTTCATCCATGACACTGACACTTTATCCATGATGCTGGTTGCACTGCCAGCATGCCCGTGTTTAAACAGAGTGGCATTAGTCATTCCATTCCAATACTCACTAGCATGTACTTGCAGACGCTCGGGAGCAAGGCAGTTACCATAGCAACCAGAGCAGATGAGCTCTGGTTGCTATAAGTGTAGAGCAGAAGTACCGTCTGTGAGAGGTCTCTCCTGCTCTCCCTGTCAATCAATTCTACAACATAAAGTCTTTGCTGACGAATTGATAGACAATTAAGAACAGCGCACAGAAATATGAGGAATTGGTTACATCATATGACTATATTGTGTTAAGCCCACCACAACGCCACATTCCCAATATTTGTGGGTTCTACACTAATTTAAACATTTGAAATGAACATACTAACTACAGTACTTGCTGCTTAAGCTGCTTCTAGAGTGGTTATGATGTAATAAAAGGCTGCACGTTGGTCTGTGGGATATACACAGAGTTCCAAATGAACCTAATGTTTCAACAGACATGGTGATTAGCAGCAAATGAGTGTCATTGAAAACTGAATACCTGTGTTATTCATCAATGTGTTAATTTTAATTATTTAAAACAGATCTGTCAATTTTGGTGGCCTTTGCCTGTTTTGCAAAGATTCCCGAAATGGACAGATTGGTTTTGGTATGGGTCTGGTGGCTGGGGGTTGCAGGGGAGGTGAGCTTTACTTATCTAAGACTGTCCCTTGTGGCCACCATCATCTTAATAATACAGGCCCTATGTTAATAATGCAGGTCCTATTTGGCTCAATGCACTTCAGTTGCCACAAGTCATGTCAATGTTGTGCTCTCACACATACAAGATCCTCAATGAAGGATTCCACAAGTGCAAGATCCTCCATAGTATGAGCCTCACAGCCATACTCACAGCCTCATCATTTGTGTCAGTTGCTGAAATTGGACAAAACTTGAAGGGGCAGTTATGCCTTTTGTCAACTTTTTTCAACCTCATAAGACAAAATAGTCCCTACTTTGTCTTATGGCATCTTTGGATTGTATTGGACTTTCAATGAAATTCCAAGGCAGTCTTAATCAGTATTTCATAACGAATATATCTTTGTGAAATACTGAAAAGTGACAAGACCTGCTTAAATGTATTGTCGTTATAAATGAAATTTAGAGCAGGACATGTTTTGGAAATAAACAAATGAACAAATTGCTATATTCTGATGAAGCAATTTATTCTGTTAAAAACCCAAAACCATGAAAAATCTAATTCAGCAAATCTGTTCTGTAAGAGTATAGTGTTTGCATTTGCTGGCCACATATCAAGTAAAAGCTATTCTTTAAAAACTAACATAAATCTTGTGGTTAGCAGATGTTAAATTTACAGTGAAAATGAAAGTATACAATACAGGAGGGGATACCACATTCCAGTATCCGAGCAGTTCTAATAATGTAAACTATTGTCACAGCACAGGAATCATAGAGAGACAGCAGTCAGAAATGACAGTTCTGACAAATATTTGGTATAGTAAGTATGTGGGTTATGGTTCCCAGCATAAAACTATCTACTGCTGATTCATTATCCAACAGAACAGCTTTTGTTAGAGTTTGGTATTCCTTAATAGTCTCTAGGCCAAAGTTTCAGAAAAAAAGGAAGAATCTTACAATTGGTATATAAATGTATCAAATTACAATAGGCCACCACAGAGCTAAACCAAGAGAGGAAGGAGGTTGAAGCAATAACAGTATTTCATTTGCACACAAACACAGATATTTAAAAAAAGGAAGTTCTTGTATAACTATGGGTAATATTTACAAACTTGGGATTTGGCTTCTGTTCAATAAGCTCAGTACCTCCAGATAATTAGAGCATCACTATTGACTGAGCCATTTCCTGGCTTAGTGAGAGTTCAATGCTCAGGCTCCAAAGGGTGGGGATTCTAGTAAATGTAAGACCACCATATATTAGTTTTTGTTTTCATATTATTAATTATTCATATTATTTATGGATTGTCAAACGTTTGCCTAACCTAGTCACCTTAATTTTGGGTCTACCGGTAATTTAACTTTCCCATTCTTATCTCAATCAAAACTAGGTTTACATTCAGCAAATATTTATATTTACCCAGTGCTTATCGAGTATGGCCTGCACTCAGAGAAGAAATACAACACACTGCAAGGAAATGTTTTCAGTTAAACAGTTTTCAAGGTTTGCTATTACATAATGGGAAATTCCATAGAGTCTTGAAATATTTGTTACTGTATTGGATATTCTAGATTATATTGAGGTATTCGACTCTGCTGTGAGTGCTTAAAGGGACACTATATTCACCCAGACCACTTCATCTCATTATTATTATCAATTGCACTTACATGATTACATTGCAGAACTAATCAGACAGCCATCAATCAGACACTAGAGGCACTTTTTGGATGCTAACGAACTCTAGGTCCTGCTGGATGTCTTCCTGCTCTGCATGAGGACATCCAGCATCAGTGAAATACCCATAGGAAAGCATTTATTCAATGCTTTACTATGGGAAGGACCTAATGCTCTTGCAGAGCTCGCCACATATTGGTTGATCCATTGGATGATCTGCTGGATGTCGGAGGAGGTGGAGTGCTGAAACAGCACTGACGGACATGTGGAGGGAGCCAGAGGACACTATAGTGTTAGGAATATAAGGAGAGCAAAAAACAAGTTACAAAAAAGTGCTGAGAACGGACAACAGCTCAATTAGCCTGCCCTTCGGTGGGTCCCCGCTCAGTTCTCAAGCTGGTTTTAGCTTATGTTGTGCCATTACAGAGAGAACCAGGCCATGCATCTCAGACTGATTCCACCCACTTATCTTAGTAGCTTGAGCCTGGGGTCAAGGTGCCTTCCATTACACCCAAAAAGGCAGAACAGATCCAAAATACAGGCCAGCTCTCTCTGCATGAGAGAAACAGCAACCCCAGATGATAGTTTCAACCTTGTTAGGAATCATCGGTGAGATATATCCAATATACCTCTAGGCACCGTGAGCAAGGGGTCCACATCTGGATTACCCTTTAAACTTATGGAGAGCAAAAAACAAGTCACAAGAGAGTGCTGAGAATGGACAACAGCTCAATTAGCCTGCCATTTGGTGTGTCCCCACTCAGTTCTCAAGCTGGTTTTAGATCATCTTGTGCCATTACAGAGAGAACCAGGCTATGCATCTCAGACTGATTCCACCCAAGAGGGCAGAACAGATTCAAAATACAGGCCAGCAACCCCAAACAATCGTTTCAACTTTGTTAGGCATTATCAGTGAAATATAGCCAAAATGTGAGGTGAGGTGATATCAGCTACACCTCACTGACGAGGTCCAAACGAAGGCCGAAATGATCATCTGGGATTGCTGTATCACTCGTGCAGAGGGAACTTGCTGGCATTTTGGATCTGGACTGCCTGTACCAGTGGGACTAGTCTGATATGCCTCAGATATGGTCTCTCTGTAATGGCACAAGTGGGCAAAATCTATTTTGAGACCTGAGCGGGGATGTACCGAAGGGCAAGCTATTGAGTCTCCCACAGCTTTTGTCTGTTTTCATAGTGGTTACCCCCGCTATTAATAAAGTAAGAGATCTATTTTCCCCAGTAACTGGACGACACATAGTTCCAGGGGTACAACAACTACTTTATTGGCCACACTCTGGCATCATACTTTTTACCATCCAAGGGGTGGATCACACACAACGACAATGACCCCTCCCAGGGTTCTCCCCCTACCGGGGGTCACCCGACGGAACTGGAACCCCAGTCTCTTTGTTGTCCCTTGTTCCCGCCACTCAGTGTCCCCTCTCAGGGTTCTCCCCCTCTCAGGGGTCTGGGCGTGTGACAGGAACTCCAGTCTCTTTGTCCCCAGTTCCTGACACCCAAATATAGGGTTTCCCACTTCCGTGGTGGGGGGGAGGTCTTCTTCCCAGGACTCTCTGTACCGGGGAATCCCAGCGCGGAAAAGATTCCTGCCTCCTTGGCTCCCAGGCACAGAAAGCCAGCCAAACCGCCATTGTTCCTAAGAAAGTGTCCCCACCAATTTTAGGGATCCCCTCGAATGGTGACTGCCTCAGTTCGTGGGATCCCTGGGTGAAACCAGGTAAGGGCAGCGTCCCCATTCGGGACACGAATGCTCCCCCTGGCCATTGTCCGTCACTTATTTTGCCACTTGTCAACGTTCTAATTGATTCGTGTGAACATTCCAAGGGGCACTGGGGAGGTCCTCGTTCGGGAGTCATACAAGGTGGGAAGAAATCTGCAAATGCTCCCCCTGGATGACGTTCGTCTAACAAACAGGCTGCCACCCAGGGACAGCACGCGCTGAGGCTAACTGAACGTTCTAAATGGGGTATTGGGGTGGTTCCCATTTGGGAGGAAAACAGAACTTGTTCATATGGGGCTTCCTGAACGGGGAGGAGGTAAAACATACGCATACAATACATATAATTGTATCACAAAGCAAAACAGACTGACAGTAAACAGCCAACAGTGAGTAGCTGCAAATGTCTAATATGGCTCAGACTTTTTGCATAACTTTCAATCTCCATCTGAATGAGTTAAATTTTTAAATAATTTTAGGCAGCCAAGTAGAACCTGGAACTATGTACAATAATACACATGCCCGGGTGGGTCCTTTCTAGATGAAGCAGCCAGGATTCTGACGCCCGCAGTAAGTCTAATAATAAAAATGGTCCAACAAAAGACGTGTCAAGTTTCTCATGCATGAAAAATAATCATCATAAATGTGCCTTAAATGCGTCTATGTGTCAGATCATGGTAAGTTGCAACTAGCAGCTCAATGTCATTTTACTTTTTGTACATTTGCAATTCCTATCGGTAAAATAGACTTTCTCTGCAGTACTTGGTACGTATGAACATCTGATAAACAACAATTAACAGCCTGTAAGGGCACGTTATTTTATTCAACTCGCAGGCATAATCCACAAAGATGAGACAATGGCATTATTTTACATAAGGGAACAGTGAACAGAAACGGGGCATGAACAATATGCCTTTCAATAATTATGTGGGTTTTTTTTGGTTGTTTTTTAGTCTTAGAACGATTTAGGCTAAATTACTTTTCCACAGTACTATGTCAGCACTATATATTTTAAAGATACACAATAAACAAAACATAAATAAAGGAAAATAATGGTGTCACAACTCATGAAATAGAATTGTATTTGAAGGACATGAGGCTGTAACACCCCAGTCCATTACAGTTATTAAAAGAGGCTACACTGACTCGTCCAGGATTCTACACGCTCTAGTTTGCTCTATTTATGTTAATGGAGTCATTTAAAGAAATGAGGCACTACAGAACTGGGATCTTCATAGCATGGGTTGCTCATTGCTGGCTGGACAACCCGTATCTAGAAGAACTGGACCATATGCAATCTCTGTAGACTTTGGTGTTACCAAAGGAACCATAAGCCCAATTAAAATGATGGAAAGGTAAATACTCAAAGTGAAATAACATAAGGGCTTCCAGCATTTAGCTCAGAGGGGAAATGGTCACAACAAAACAGACAATAAAAATAAATAATCCACCTACTGTAATCTTCCATGTGCATTTGCTGTTTGGTGGATAAACTCCAGGAAACCCTTCACTTCCCAGTACTCCTGTGTCTCCAGTGAGATTCCCACCACACGTGAAGGTTTGCCTAGGGTGGTGGAAAAATGCAGCAACTTAGCACAAAACAGGTTTCACCAGAAATATTCATCACATATATAGTTATAGTGCTTAACCCCTTCAATGAAATACTGTGCTTTGCAATGCATCCATACTTCATACACAAATACTAACAATGCACTTACACTCCAGTTATGTAATAAACATTCTTATGGGATGGAAAGTTAAAAGGTGTTGCAAAGTTTGCAAAACACATAGTTTGGCTTTACTTTCTATGGCAAGTGGAATCAAAAAGCGATAACTATATCATTTCATATGATCACACCCTGGTTTGTAATTTACGTTACAGCTGGGTTAGACATTATGAAGCCCTTTAATTTCTGAACTACATCTGTCGGGTCGGGAACAGGCAAGAGAAGATAGCTGGCCAAGGGTGTAGAAAATTTATAGGCCAGGAGGCCAGCATGAAGGAGATGACATATAGGATAGAAACCAACCAGGATGAAAGGGATGATTTAGAAGGGCCTTAATATTGTTTAAGCCAATGCAATACTTATATATCAGGTATAGATACAGGACATGTCTTCTTCATGTTGGAAATACAAGGGGATGACTATATAAGGCTATCAAAGTGCCATATGTGTTCAAGGACATACCAAGGAATTACTGCCAGTCTACAAGCACACAGATTGGGATATTTATCAAAGACCTCTGAAAAGTGGAAGTTAAATGTCATCTTTATTTTTTTCCGATTCATTAAAGTGATCTGACAAAAAGTACATTTTGAACTTTTTTTTTCCCAGAAATTTCCATTTCAGAAGAAGGCCAAAACTATAGTGGCAGGTAAAATTCATAAATGTTTTGTGTTTTTGAAAACAAATGGTACATACTCAAAGATAAAAAATCCAACATATTTAATATATTGTGCCAAAAATTGCATGGAAAAAATGTTAGCGACACTTTGATAAATCTCCCCCAGAGTGTATGTGATCGAAGCTCTGAGAGATGGCAAACATGCTTGTCTTGTCACTTCAAGCCACTGCGATGAATGCCAGCGTTCTTTGCAAATCCCCTGAGACATTCTGAAAAACATGCTCGTTTTCTGGGTTATGCAATAGTTTCCAGTAAAATTAATAGCTCAAACACTAACATCCTAGTCATGGTGAATGAACACAAGTAAACTAAAATGGGTCATATTTAAAGATTTTCTAATTTATTGTTATTATACATTTGAGGACTGTAGAACTGAAACGTACCTTAAATATAGTAGAAAACACCTACAAAATTACTATTTGCTCAAATTTACTCAACCATTCAGTGACATCAAAGTTGTTTTTATTTGTTGCCAACTCTACCAGAAGTATGTAATGTCTGTGGTGGGGAGCAAAAGTCACTATTTTCTATAAAATGGTCATTTTCAGGTTGTTAGAAAAAAATACTGTATTCTCAATTTATTTGTATTTTCATTTCATTGCCATGATTTTACAGCTCTACAGAAACACATCTTAGCTTAGACAATCAATTTGTCCAGTAGCATTCATCTCTGAGAAATCTTAACATGATATTCAGCCTCGTTCATCAATCACTCTGAGTTTAATGGCACAATTTAGTCACAGACTTTTATTAGGGCAATGATTGTTAAATTTGGCACTCCCAAGAGTTTCTGACCTACATTGCCCACAAAACTCAACATATCTAATGCTCTGGTTTCTGCTTTTGTGGTGGCAAAGGCTAGTATTGATAACTCATACTAACCATGAACCATTTGATACTTATACAAAACAAACAAACTAATACAGTTATACAGCAAGCAAAACATATTCCATGGAAAGAGTGAACAATTTTAGGGATATGTATAAAATTGTAGCAATAAAAATAACAAAACAAAGAAAACAACAGGGTTATAGTAAATCAGAGTTGTGATGCACCTCCTTTTGTTAAAATCAAAACAGAGTCTTTTGCCAGGCTATGAGCTCATATGTGTTAGGATACACAACAATATGTTTTCGCAAGGAGTCCCTGAATTAGCTCTGCACAAAACAGATGGATCAGAGTACAGCACAATTTTAATATGCAGGAGCGGATTGACAGCAATCTGGGCCTCCTGGGTGTCTTCAACTATATTATAAATTCATCGCTTTGTGTATTATTTACGAACTGTAATGTATAGCTGTCTCTATGTATAATGTGAATGTAGATGTGTATTTAAATGGTATTTCAATGCACCGTGAAAACATTGCTTCATCGGAGGTTGTTATGGTGCAGAGAGTACCCTGCTCTCTGTCTCCAGACTTAGAGTGGAATATAACTACAGTAACTTGCAAATATCTCTGCAGATATAAGACTGCTCCTCTGGATCAATGATGTCACAGGACGAAACTGCCTGGGCAGACATCTCTTCCTTCTCACGCTATATTTGGAAAAAAATTGTGGCACTGTCACATGCATGATAGGTTGGCAGCCCAGGAGATCTTTGCACACATCATAAATACACAAAACTGTAAATTGAGCAGTAATTATCCTGTCGGGGGTGCGGCTGCTATCAGATCTTTCAACAGAAAGTTGTCATCTGACAACTGAAACTGTGGCTGAGCCCAATCTCAATATCCCTTAAACCTCTGCCGTGAGTCCCTTCCTCAATATTCTGTGATTCACTGTTGCATATTTTGTCCCTTTAAAAGGGAACTGTCCCTTTTTTTTTTTAAATCAGACCACTGAATCAAACATTGAAAACCACCTATAGCTTGTTTGATCTTTTTGCCAATTGGTGCTCCATTTTCTATTAAGTGTGTATTAAAGATGTATCACATGACATCATAGTCTAGTTCAGCCCAGGCACAGCCATGGCATACAATGCAAATTAGGAGATGAAAAAGAAACACTGTTTGGGTTCGCCGCTTCTCTGTATGCTTTCTCTGTGCTGACTGACAGGCACAAATGATAGATAAAGAAGTGTGAATTTCTACATTTAATTTTATTTACCACACCTCAGAAATACATATCTAATTTAATAGAAAATGTAATATTAAAAATCCCCTTATTTATAACACCAATGATGAATCCGACATGATAGTTAATAAGGAATGTGTAGCATTTCTAAATATTTGAATATAATGCTCTGAATTATTTCAAAGATTTGGTGTCATAATGCATACCTCTCAAGTGTCCCTATTTAGGAGTGACAGTCCGTATTGTGGGCCCCACTCTCTATGCCCTTTTTGCTATCCTAATGTCCCTACTATTTAAAATATCCATACTGTTGGTGTGTCTGAGTTAATGTTCCTTTATACTACAATAAATGTGCTTAGGAATCAGTTTTTGTAAATAAGATATGTTGTTTAAGGTCTGAATTACATTTTAGTTGTTATAGGGCACCTAAAATTTCTCATAACAGCCCGATTCCTTGCCACACTTCCACTTCCACCCCTAGAATTAAAGTGTTTTCCTCCTTGTCCATTTGAAGTGCTGAGAGGTATGATAATGTGATTCATAGACAATGTTAGGGTTTAGGTTTTGACGTAGGATGTGAGATAGGCTGAGATATTGTAAGGGGCATAAGTCAATATATGTGGGAGGATCCATAAAATTTAGCTTTGGGATGAAAGGTGTTTTTGCTATCTAGATACAAGCTAAAAAGTTTGTCTTCATATGTCAGATAAAATAAACAAGTTGTCTATGTCAGAAAGTTAAATTTGGGAAACTTAGGAAACCTTATTGCTCAATGATAATATTTCTGACTGTTACGTCTTTTTATATTGAAATACAATAAAAATTACTTATATAAAAAATTTAAATAAACACGTTGGATGATTATTAGAATCTCATCATCCAGAATATAGAGAAAGAAAATGAGAACAAAATAGGTGATGTTGCACTAGAAAAAAGATGCAGTAGAAAAATAACGTAGCAAATATAATAAATGGTCAAGACAGCCTAGGTTACTAAAGCTAACTAGACCCATGGAGTCAGAATGTGACTCACACAGCTGGGAGGAAAGATAGGACATTTGAGTTTGGCGAGACACTGAAGGAAACGGTCTGAGCAAAACTGAGGAATATGGAAAAAGATCACGTATGAGAAGGATCGTAAAATAAATATTACAGACTAACAGGGTTTGACTTTTATACATTAAGAAGAGGAATAAAACTAGTAGACAGGATGATAAATGTGTTGATTTTATTTTTGTGGTTTGAGGGATATGGTATAATAAATCATAAAGAAGAGTGCATTCAAGGGTCTGAGTTAAATTTACTGCTTTGCGTGTTCTTGTAGCCTCCCAATGATTCACTTGATCAAGCTGGGCTGTGATTGGGGCGATGCAGGGACCCATGAAAGCACACTTTTACAAAAGCTTAATCTGAGATGTAATGGAAATTAGAAAATTCTTTAAAGTACAATGAATATTATGGCTGACTGAGCATGTTTGGAGATGTTGTCCAAAATATATGAGAGGTATTGTACAAGACCTTAAAGGAACACTATAGTGTCAGGAATGTAAATGTGTATTCTTCACACTATAGTTCTAAAATAACAGTTTAGGTACCGCCCCTCCCCCTCCCCCCCCCTGCCCACATTATAAAGGGCTGAGATCATGAAACTTGACGACCTCAGCCAATTAATGCTTTACCAGAGGAAAGCATTGGGAGGCTATTGTGCACGAACGGCAAAATGCTGTACTGCACCAATCAGCATCTCCTCATAGAGATGCACTGAATCAATGCACCTCTAAGAGGAACGTTCAGCACCTCCATGTACATTTTGCCGCTAGAGGAGTTCCTACACAGCAATGTAAAAACTGCCTTTTCTCTGAAAAGGCAGTATTTACATTAAAAAACATGCAGGCGCTGACTATAGACACCAGAGCAACTACGTTAATCTGTAGTTGTTCTAGTGACTATAGTGTCTTTTTAACAACCTAGACTTGCATAGATTATGGTGTAAGTAAATTCCTGGCCATCTCCTTTCTCTTTGTTTCTTATTACTGCAACTATTTGCAACCATTGCTGTAGCAGCTATAAACCCAACACTATACTAGCACATGTCAGGGGAATGCTTTGTGCTTATCCTGCCTTAACCTGCCATGCATGTTACTACCTCCTCTGATAGATTTGCTTAGTGTTTTATGCAGGAGTCATCCCTCTGAGTATCAGCACCTATTGTATCATCTATAGTTCCATTAATGAGAAATACAAGTTATAGAGGAAAACCAACAAATGTTGCTCCATAAACTTGTAAGTCTCTGGAATTCTGCAAGCAGAGAAACGCAAGTATGGCCATGGGTGGGACAAAGACGGCGAGATAGAAGGTCCTAACCAATAGGAAAACAAAGGGAAGAAAGGAGAACAAAGACAAGTAACGGACAGAGAGAAAGACACATAGACGAATTAAGAAAACATTGCACACATGGAACGCATAGAGAAATGGTGGAAAAGACAGTTGTGGTCCACATGAAGGACAGATTGGTTCTGAAAAAATAAAGAAAGGGGACTAAAAGGCATGAACATGACCTGATAACATCCCTCATAAAAGCAAGCCACCCCTAGAATTAAAGTGTTTTCCTCCTTGTCCCTTTGAAGTGCTGAGAGGTATGATAATGTGATTCATAGACAATGTTAGGGTTTAGGTTTCTGTCTAAGTAAAATGGAAATCACACTAGTATAAATCGCTGTATGATCTCATTCAGGTTTTGCAAATGAAAGAGCTACACATGTTAGTGAGGAATGAAGCAACTTTTAAATTGTGAAAAGTCAGAAATATGCTTTACCTCCAAGTTTAAATGTGGGTCCTTACTGACAAATGATTCTAGGTAACCAGTATAAACATTTCCACATGAAAAATGTTACCCTATTGTCTCAGCTTCTGTAAATTAATCTACGTGCTAGTATTGTATGAATAATTAGTGGCCACTCATGCACCTTAATTGGTGTCTTTTTGCATGATATATATTATAATTGATAATCGTGCACTGCTTTAATTGATATTGTACACTCGTTTAGTGGTTGACTAATTTGTTTTTATTGGCAAGAGATATATTGCAAGATAATTGTGTGCTGTTTTATTTGATATTGCCACCAATTTATGGGTTGTTTGTTTGCTGCATGTATTATTTAGTGATATAGTACATAATTGGATATTTACACTTGCACTTTAAAATCAGTTTTGCGCCACCTTATTCATTCTTTGGTGTTGAAATATTTATACAATTTTTTTTTCATTTGAGTGTTCATTTAGCACAAAAATGTATTGTTCCTAAAAATATATATATACCTGTGATACAAACTGCCACTGGGGATCTGGGCCAACCGCCCAGCATCCCTGTAGGGCCGGTAGAGAGACCGCCGTCCCATCTCCACCTGCCATCTGTAGGTCTTCCCAGGACCAGTCTGTGAGGTCTCTCAACATTTGCGAGTAAGGACCACCTGCTTCCACACCTCGCAACTCCGGCTGCTGCTGGGGATCTGGGCCGGCTGCCCAGCATCCTGGTGGGCCCGGTGCAGAGACCTCGGTCCCATCTCCACCTGCCTGTTGTGGTTCCTCACAGGACCAGTCTATGAGGATCCCTACTTCGGGTTCCTCCGGCCACCTCAGGGGAAGACGGCTAACCTCCTCGGATGCAGCCTCTACTCGGCTGCTGTAACACTCCTTCCGCTGAGCATACTCTCTCTCTTTCGCCAGCCGGAATTCTCGGTCCAGCCTTGTGTTTCGCTCGGCTGTGACCTGGTTCCAGATCACCCGGCATATCTCCATGGGCACATCATCCCCATACTGGGCCACTCGCTGCCTCACCTCGGCTAGCCAATCATCTTCAGAGCCAGAGCCTTCCATACCTGTCTGCTCCAAGTCGCTGGATACCTCTGCTCCCAGGGGCGCTGCACGAGTGCTAGCGTTGCCCTCAATTTGTAACTCCACAAATGGTGTCTCTGAGCTGCTTTACCTCGCACTAGGACGCCATCCCACTGCTGCCACCAATTTAACGGATCACCTGGCACCCCGACTGGGTACCTCCGTTGAAGGATGCTCCTAGCGCTTACTGAGGACTCCAAGCACTGCAGCAGACACCACAACCACCGAACCGGAGAAGCATACGAATGCAGCTTACACTCCTGGCAATCAGCATACAATCCAATTCCCCCAATAACGAGACGACACTTCGTTTTGAGGTCAAGCAGAACTGACTGTACTGGCACATACAGCCTCTTTTATTCACAATCCACAAACATAGTACTGCCCACAAGGTTTTGAAATACAACCAATCAATCCGTACAATACACACAGACACTCCCACACAAAATCCTCCCCTCTGCCTGTGATATGATTACTGAACACAATGGGTAATATAATTATCACAGGCAGAGAAATACAGTTTTTACAAAATATTAATAACTTCCAAAATATACATGCCATTCACATAAAACATTTTCAGAATCCGCATGCTTGAAATATACACATACTCAAAAATCAGGGCAATCGGTTCAGGGGTTAAAAAGTTAAGTGAAAGTCCTATTTGACAAAATGAAGCATGGTTTTTCTGCCCAAAACCAGTTCCACAGAGTCTTCTATCCTGGAGATAATTGAGAAGTAATCCAATTGTCTCCAAGGACAGAGGCAAAACTCCATTAGCCACATGGTAGCAAAATACAATAAAATACATAAAAACATATAACTGTGCAGCTATTGCATAAAACAGAAACGATCTCAACATATCCCCAGATAGCTTAGATCTGAGCGCAAATTATTACTGAATGGCGCTCAGATCACATACATACAGTTCAAATGCCATGGAGCCAAAGTCTTTCACATAGTCTTTCGTTATACGAATGGGCTCCATGGCATAGCTATCTGGGGTAACACTGCTCACATAGGGAAAGTACCAAATGACCCGGCTTTCGGGTCTTTGCAGGGGAAAATCCAGCATTTCAACATGGGGCCATAGTCACAGGGAGGGAGGCTGGCAATCAGTCTTCTCCAATGCCCAGTGGCGAGGCTGGTTCCGCCACAATACTTTTATTTGTTGTAAATATCTGTTTATTAGGAGAATCGCATCGATAATGGAATGTGTGCCGCATACGGCACACCCTCGACCCTCGAGGAGGGAAGGGTGCCCACGTGTGTTCATTCAGTGGAAGGATGTAGAACTAGAAGAGGAAAGAGAGAGAGAGAATAAAAAGGGTGGGGAGAGGAAGGAAGAAGGGTGGGGGTGGTTGGCATGGGGGAATTGCTGCTAGTTTCCTTATTCAATATTTCTCTCAGCTCTCTCAGGAATATTATTATTATTATTATGATATTTATAGAGTGCCGTCAAATTCCGCAGCGCTTTACAATGGGTGGACGAACAGACATGTAGTTGTAACCAGACAAGTTGGACACACAGGAACAAAGGGGTTGAGGGCCCTGCTCAATGAGCTTACATGCTAGAGGGAGTGGGGTAAAATGACACAAAAAGGTAAGGATAGTATTAGACTAATGACAGTTGCAGAAGAGGAATATCTATTGTATCATGCACTTCATTCCAAGTGGTAAGCCTGGTGTGGAATCATGGGTTGAATATATTTTGCCTATGGCTCCCTATACCCCGAGTAGGGCCCTGAAGTCAGTTGAGTCTTTTGTCAAGATCCAGTGAGTCCAGGTCATCAGTTAGGTCTGTGATCTACATTCTGCGTGTGAGTTCAGCTCTTCCAAAGAGTGGAGCTCCTCCATGCGTTGGAACCAAAGGACCATAGGGGGAGCCACATTCTGTCTCTACAAAATGGGAATTAAACTTTTGGCTACCTTGAGGATCCTGATGGTGACAGATTTTTTGTATGTCGATGAGCATTGTGTAGTGTGAAGTAAGAGGAATGATGCTGGTTTTAGGGGTGGGGGGGTCGTCTGAGAATTGTTGGAGGATTTTGTCTATAGAGGTCCTGTAGGGTCAGATCATGGGGCATTCCGACCAGATATGTTGCTGGAAGCCAGGTGCACATTGGCATCTCCAGTAGGTGCCTGGTTTGGAAAGGTTAATTGTGTGTAGCAATTAGCGGGTTTTGTACCAGTATACCAGAAACAAACTGTAGGACCTGTGTAGATATACTTTTCTCATCCTATCTTCAACCGCTATGTTACATATAATAATTAAAATGGGTGCCCCACCTCCCCCTCCAAAATGAGTGTTTCATGAAGATTATTTTTCCAGTGCTTGACAAGCTTGACAAAAGGAGGAATTACCTACTCACGCACATCCTTGTGAGTACAGCTCTGATGTCGGCCTTTGGCAGCTAAAGAGGATGCAGTGGATCAAGATGGTGGTGCCTACGAGCGATAGGTTCAGGTAAGTAAATTTCACGTAACCTTGCACCCTGCCACCGGACACTCAGCGGTGATGTCACCATCTGGGGTCTTTGCAATTTATGCAAATGCTCCAGACTGTGAAAGAGACACTTTAATGCTATATTTGATGCTATTTAAAGAATAAATATATATTCAAATGCATATTTGTTTCTAAATCTCCTTGTTTCTAAGGTATGCTAAATAATCATAATTTGACTGACTAAAAAATAACTAAACTTAAAATATAATCTAGGTGAGGACATTGGAAAATATCTGCACCTTTTGTGGGAGTGCAGACTCATTTTTACATTAGTTTCATTTTTGTATTTTTGTTTCTTTTATGAACAATGTACCTTTATCCTAACTGTTTATGAAAAATCTCTTTAGAGGGACAATATGAGCACCATAACAACTTTAGTGTAATTGTGGTGCATAGATCATATCCCTGCTCTCTAACTGCTCAGTTATCTGCCATTAAGCGTTAAATAGCATTGTTTATGTAGACCTAGCCACACCTCCCTTGCATGTGACCTACACAGTTTCCCTTCACATGTCCTGTAAGAAGAGCTCTTATGTCTAAACTTCCTTTGTTGCACATTCTGTTATCAGTTTGTTCTTGTGAAAGAGAGTTTATGTGTGTTTTTGTTTGCACTCTGTCAGAGTTATTCACTAAGGTGAGCATTTAACGTGAATTTCACCCTCCACATGTTTAACCCTTGTGTTGTGGAGGTGTCTGGTAAAGCTGAATTTTGGCTAAATTTAGACAGCAAATTGCTGCACGTCACAGGTCCCAAACAAAATTTTCAATTTGGATAATTTTGTTTGGAAGAACTGAAAAAACTTGCCGTGCACCAGTCTAATGTAATTCAAGATATCTATCTTGAATTAGTAAACTCTATATCAGGGCTGTCACACTGAGATTAAACAGATGTATGACAATGCTGCCTTAAATTCTCAGCCATCCGTTGCTTTAATTGGTATTATGGGAGCTGTAGTACAAGAACATTTGATTGGGGATCCGTTTTGACAATTTGTTTATGTTTATAAGCTATATCTTGGTTTTCAGACATCTATTACTTTATTAGGTTTTACAAACATTGTTCTCTGTTCACTTACTATAAGATATCTTTTACTTTTGTTTTCTGTATTTTAACACACTTTCCATGAATAATGACTGTGTGACACTTTTTATCCTTCAAATTCTCTGACATGTTTTCCTTTGTATCATGTGAAGAACCTTGATGCTATTTAACTTCAACCCTACTCTTTCTGAGTCATGACTCTCATGGAGGCATATTTCTTGCCTCTCTGACTTGGCAACCTTCCTTATGTATGTACAAAGTGCAGTGATAGAGCCTTTCTAGAATTCGTAGTAATTAAACAGGAAAAAGATAGCTAAAAAAACAAGAGAATCAGACTCATCGTAAGCAGATAATGTATAGGTATCAAAATTAGGTTGAAAACATTATGTTATTCAACTACCTGCCCTAACCAATGCCCTAGTCCTCTTCAGTTGCTGTCAGAAATATTTGTATAGTGACAACTGCTGATTTCCCGCTGTCATTATACAATTTACCTGGAACTGCACGTGATATTGGAATAATGCATGCTAAACTGCCCAAAACCATATGGAATTCAACCAGATATTACACTTGTCATTTCACACCAGAATAATCAATTCTCTCATGGGACCTCTTCACCAGCAGCTCTACACAGATTTGACTTAAAATTTGTCAAGATCTGTGTTAATGAGACATCATTCTGCATTTAGGTGTGGAGCTTAATTCCCAGGTGAATTCTGAAGACACATGAAGCACTCTCTTATGTCCCTGAATCAATATCTTATGTGACCTTTACAACTTCTTTTTAGAACAGTGTCCTAAGCAATGCTAGCAATGAACAGTCTAATTTACTCAAAGTAATTTGCAGAGCTTATGGTCTGTAATTATTTTAAGAAATTAAGTTCAATCACTAAGGCTTATAGCAAACTCTTTGACTGTGTCTGTAAATGGTGTGGCTGAGACCATCAAAGTATTGAAAAACAAAGAAACAGACCTTCAGGATATTGGGAGTTAGGCAGGTCAAGTGACCTCAGAATAAGAGAGCAAGCTTAATGAAGTCAGAGTTTCAGCAGAATTGACAATTTACTCCTCCTGAATTACATGTTCAGCCAACTGCTACTGCTTGTGCAGATGTTTCAACAACAAATGTTCCAAGATTCTGAGAAGCCAGAACTTGAGAGTTCCTCCAAAGAAAACAATGGCAATGTTGAGTAAGAGGAGAATATGTTTGGTTCAAAGAACAGAAAAACTGTGAGTCTATGTTGTGTCCAACTGCTGAGCACGTGTACTAGACAGAGCGGGTTGGCTAGGCATGTGTGAAGGTTGGTTCTGAATGAGTGTTACAATAATGACTTCCACTCTCAAGCACTGAGGAGTTGGTTGTTTTCCAATACCTAGAATAGATTTGCTAGCAACATGTTGGGTACTGTTTTCCAGGTTCTTGAAAGTTCAACCGCAATGCAGATGATACCATTATGGTCAGTTCAAAATTAGAGGTAGATAGGCTTTAAGTGCATGATATCCAAGAAACAGAATAAAAAGCAGATAAACAAAAATCAAGAGAGACAAAGCAACACTTATGGTCAGTTGCTTACCTTTTCAAGACTGGAAATATTCCTCAAAGTAAGGTAACTATTTTATTAAAAAAGTACAACACAATCTGAAGACCTGGCCTGCCTTCAGTCCTGAACTCCATGTTGTATGGGTTAAACCAGACAGAAGAATCAATGCCATGATACAATATTCACACGTTCCCTACGTTTTGGTCTATTGCCACATTGGGACTGGGAAGACATGTTGTGAGACTCCCTGCTTAAATTGCCAACCAATGCCTTGTTATAGTAAGGATGCTATTAACACAAAGATTTAATGACTGGTTTAATGAATCTTAGGTTGAGAGACAATTTACAATGCTTGTAAACACTGGATAACTCTGATTGTCTGGCATAGTATAATGTGAAACAACAAACTAGGCAGAGCTTGTCAGGCGTTCCAAATTGTTCAAATTTGGTTTATTAAAAAATAAATGGATTTGCGATTTGCACATATGGACAAACTATGTTTTATCTATGCTCAGTCCTCCTCGGCCAAAGAAGACCAAAGATATCCAGTAGTTGCAGTGGCAGTTTAACTTGCCTGTCTTTCGATCATGGGTGAGTGTCAGGTCTAGATCATTGCAGGATGTGGGGCAGATATAAGGGGATGATTTTAGGATGTTTATGTCAGTGGACAGTAGGGATAGATCTGAGGAGCTGAAATGGAATAATATGAGCAATACCTGACAGTGACAATGTGATCAGTGCATTTAGCTTTACTTTTAGAAATAGAGACAAGCCATCGGGTTAGAATTAACAGGTAAATAAGTGATTTTGAGATGTTAGAGGTAGGGGGAATGGCACAGATATCTGGTGTATTTTTATAGTAAGTAATATATGTATAGACACAATGAGGTGGTGACTTGGCACTGATAATGGGCTATTTCACCTAATTTAATCATTCCACTTAACTGCACAGCAACTAAACTACATGAAAACACATAGTACCTTAAAAACTGAACTCACACAATGTGTACAAGTTCTAATGTAAATTCTATAGATATAAACCTTCCTGTGATATGACAAAAACCACACGTCAACAACACTGGGCTTCTTCTAGACAGGCAATTAGCTTCACGTAACACAGCAAGCATAGGGTTAATGGACAGACAGATATATAGAGATCGATAGATGAATAGGCGCACAGCGAGAGAGAGAGAGAGAGACAGACAGACAGACATATACCGATTGGTGCCTAGAACTGGAATGATTTTAAACCATGATATGTGAATGCCTAGGTACTCTTATAGCACTTGAGTTGCTGTAAAGTGCAACTCCCATCACCCCAAGCTATCCTCCAAGGTTAGATTCCATAGAAGGTAAAGAGGCAGTGGCCTCCCATCCCTTTAGCAATGCCAGTATGCCAGGGTCCTGTGGAACATGGCACAGTAGGATGCCCCCTGTCATGTCTTACCTCTCAGTAGGTTGCTGAGCAGAGCTGTGCCCAGCCATGAGCAGGGAGATTAGAAACAAGCTCAGTAAGTCCATGTCTGTAACATTGATCATCATTCATCAGACTTTGGTAACTGCAGGGGCTTTATAAAGGGGACCGGACCTATATAGTGTGTGCCTCTACTCATTTCCCTCTGGGAGGTTCTTTGGCACAGAATGACTCCTGATGAATATCCCATTTGTTCCTGCAAACCAGAGGAGGAGGGGACCTACTTCTCCCTAAAATCTGATCCTCCCTAGCCCCCTTCTCCTCCCCCTTCCCTTTTCTTTCAAAGGTTCCCATTAACCCATTCACACCTGAGAACATCTGATGTTTCAATCATCACTTCATCACCTAATTGTATCTTGTTTGATGCTAGTCATGGGTGATACTTCTGATTTTCCATTAATAATAATGATATATATATACTTGTTACAGTGTTGCCTTTACATACTGTACCTCCCTCACAGTTCCAGAGCTCTGTCTCTACAGTTCAGGACATCATTTTCTTATCAGCGTGCCGTGCTCACTGTAAGAGTGGGGGAGGAGTGGGGGCAAGGAATGACTCAGATTTTGTACGTTTTGGTGGAACATAATTTTGGGAAACATCTGAAAGGTAAACAGCGAGTGTGATACATTGTAGGAGTTCCCCCTTCAACTGAAGGATTCCATTCAGTCCCTCTACATCATTGTAGGTTTTGCCCAGATTTTATTGAACTACAACTCTCATAATTCTCTGCTAACTATGGTTGACAAAGAATTATGGGAGCTGGAATCCAGCAACTGCTGCCATGACTGCATCACATATTCTTTTTAGATTCTAAGTTTTCTGTTTCCCCAGTTTTCCTAATAATTAAAACCTTTAAGATTAGATATAAAATTATGAATATTCAGTTTGAATACTATTTTAATATATTACCCATTCACTCTTAAAAACGTCGTTAAAAGAGCAGCAGCATAGCTGTTTTGAACATTTGAGTTGTTTTGCCATATGTTCTCTTTGACTGTGAAGTGACCCAGGGTCCTCGATACTTGGACCTAGCTCTTAGCTGTCAGTGACTGCCTCTTGTGGGGACCTGTTTCTGGATGAAGGCTGACTTTAACTCCTAAAATGAAGACTGTGCCAGCCTATTCTAGATCTGAATGAAAGAGCAGAAATTGGTTCAACTCTGGGCATTTATTGAAACCAAATTGTATGCATATCCCATGAAGAAATATATAATTTAATGGATCTGCTGTGAGATGCATATGTGTGAAAAAAAAAACCAAACTTCTGGGTTGAGGTTGCAATCCATGCATTCAACTTAGATTCAGTGTTACCGACAGATCCAATATACTATCCTGAAACCATCACACCATCCATCCACCCATCCATCCATCCATCCATCCACCCATCACATCACCCATCACACCATCCATCCATCCATCCACACATCACACCATCCATCCATCCATCCATCCACACATCACACCATCCCTCCATCCATCACACCATCCCTCCATCCATCACACCATCCATCTATCCATCCACCCATCCACCCATCCACCCATCACACCATCACACCATCCATCTCCCCATCCACCCATCACACCATCCATCCACCAATCACACCATCCATCCACCCATCACACCATCCATCCACCCATCACACCATCCATCCATCACACTATCCATTCACCTATCACACCATCCATCCATCACACCATCCATGCACTCATTATCATTTTAATTTTATTATTTCTATAGCACCAGCAAATTCTGTAGCGCTGCACAATGGGATCACAGCATCCACCCATCCATTACACCATCCATCCATCCAATGATCACACCATCCATCCACCCCCCATCACACCATTCATCCATACATCCATCCAACATACCATCCATCCATCACATCATCCATTCATAACACACTCCAGAAGAATAGAAAAACAGGCAGCACTCCAGGATACAAGTGGTCTTAGTTTATTAGAGGGTAAGTAACGTCAGTAGTGCAAACTTTCGGCTCCTTAGAGCCTTATTCATACCTCCATCCTTCCATCACACCGTCCATCACGCCATTCATTCTGTACATTTTCCAACATAGGGTCCCTTTCTGTGGTCATCAGGGTCAGACTGGGGATACAAAGCATCCCTGGAATATGAATCTATGCCAGGCCCATAAGTCATTGGGCCATGTATTGTGTGTAATATATATCATGTGTTTATATATTACTCAGTCATCTGGGGTGGCAAGACATAGCCTTACATATTATTGGTATATTTCTTTTTCTAATTCAAAATATTGGTTCATTCAGAGTAAAACATTTAATGATACAGTAAGCATACTCACATGCAGACATAGACAATCTCACTGACACAAGCTCATTGATGCACAGGCTCACAGACAGACAATCTCATGCATACGCTCATTGACAAAAACACAAGCTCACCAATGCACACAAATATGCTTACTGACAGACAATCTTGCAGACACACACAGACAAGCTTAATGGTACACACACAAATTTAGTACAGACAAACTCTGACATGCACAAGCTTACTACAGACAAGCTCACTGTCACACACATGCTCACTGACACCCACATGCTAACTACAGACAAGCACACTCACACACACATGCTCACTACAGAAAAGCTAACACACACATGCTCCCTACAGACAAGCTCGCTGACACACAAATGCTCCATACAGATAAGCTCACTGATACATACACATGCTCACTGACACACAAGCTCATTGACACAGCCATGCTCCCTACAGAAAAGCTAACTGACACACACATGCTCACTACAGACAAGCTTACACACACATGCTCACTTCAGACAAGCTCAATGACACACACACACATGCTCCCTACAGACAAGCTCACACACATGCTCACTACAGACAAGTTCCCTGTCACACACAAACTCACTAAAGACAAGCTCACTGTCACACACACATGCTCACCTCAGACTCGTTCCCTGACACACACATGTTCACGACAGACAAGTTCTCACACACGTGCTCACTACAGACAAGCTCACACATGTGCTCACAATACACAAGCTCTCACACACATGCTCACTACAGACAAGCTCTCACACATGTGCTCACCACAGACAAGCTCACACATGTGCTCACTACAGACAAACACACTTTAACACACATGGTCACTACAGACAAGTTCACAGACACACACACACTCACTACAGACAAGCTCACTGATGCACACATGCTCACTACAGACAAGTTCACTGACACACACACGCTCACTACAGACAAGCCCACTAACACACACATGCTCACTATAGACAAGCTCACTGACCAGCAGCCACGCGCACACACAAGTTCACTCAGGAGCAGCCACACACACACACATATAAGGTTACTCACTAGCAGCCACACACACACAAGCTCACTCAAAAGCAGGCACACACACACAAGCTCACTCACTAGCAGCCACACACACAAGCTCACTCAGGAGCAGGCACACATATACACACACAAACTCACTCACTAGCAGCCACACACACGCAATCACTGTCATGGCTGAAGCTTACCTGGCACTGGTAGGTAAGTTACCATTTTGTCACCTCTTCCTTCCAGAGAGGTAAGCAATGTGCGTGTGTGGGGGTGGAGCTTCTGTCAAGGAGGTAAGGCTTCTGTTCAAGAGACTTGCTTACCGGCGGGGGTGTGACATGTTGCCAGAATCAATGTACATTTTTAAGGGAAACTGACAGGTCTCTCTCTGGCAGCCGGCCTAACTGCTGCCGCACCAGCCCCCAGCCCCTCCCTCTTTACTTCCCTCAGACTGACATAGGCTGGCACAGTCCGAGGGGAAAGTAATTTAAATTACAGTAGCATGATGTTTTGGACTGTCTGCCAGGCCTCAGGTGCCGTGGCCCACCGGGAAATTTCACAGTATCCCGGTGGACCAGTCCGGCCCTGGTGGTCATCACACTCAGTTATCAGCATGTCAATTATGTTTAAAATGGCTGTCGGTAAATTAGCCATTGGTAATTAGTGGTTACCGGTAAATTTTACAATTACTCATAGAAAAAAATTGGAGGCAAGAAACTTAAGTAACATCAGGATTCCATGCTAGATGGTAATCTTACCGCCATGTCAGAAGCAATAACTAACCCAGCATTACACATTATACTTAGGAATTTTTTGTATTACAAAATTTGAGGGGTCTTTCTCCACAGTTATATGTAAGCAACATATGGGGAGACAAAAACCTTGAGGGAGGATCACTCCTATGGATTAATATTAACAAAAAAAATATTAATATTGTTCTTTCTACCTTATTAATCAGTTGTATATATTTCTGGAAAGTAATCTTAGAAAAATCTCTCATAAAACTTTTATAACATTGGTTATTAGTCCTGAATACATAAAGGACAAAATTAAAAAAGTGAGGTAATCAGCAATTGAAGATAAGGAAATCATCTAAAAATATTAAAAATAATCTTTATATACATAGAATAATTCATTCATAAATGTATATGAAGAGGTGATTGTCTCCTTTTACAACCAACAGGATTGTTCCTTTAAAAGATTTAGGATAATCGTTATACCATCAAGAGATATGTAATTGTGTATAATAGCTCCATCTATGGTTCTTATATATATATACACACACACACACACACACACACATACATACATATATATATATATATATATATATATATATATATATATATAATTGCCATTTATATAGCGCCAACAGATTCCTTAGCGCTTTACAATATTATGAGAGCAGGGATTTAACTATAAATAGGACAATTACAAGAAAACTTACAGGTTGAAGAGGACCCTGCTCAAACGAGCTTACAGTCTATAGGAGGTGGGGTATAAGACACGTTAGGACAGGAAATATCAAATAGGGTGCGAGTGAAGCAGAGCTGGAGTAGAGGGGAGAGTGCTACCCTATAGGAGAGATCAGCAAGAGACAGGTATGTAAGGTAGAGGTTACTCTGGGAGGCCATAAGCTTTCCTGAAGAGATGGGTTTTAAGGCTCTTTTTAAATGATTGAAGACTAGGGGAGAGTCTGATGGCGGTAGGCAGGCTATTCCATAGGAAAGGAGCCACCCGCAAAAGGTCCTGCAAGCGCGAGTTGGCTGTACGAGTGCGAGCAGCGGTCAGGAGGTGGTCACGGGCAGAGCGGAGGGAACGAGGAGGGGCATACCTATAGATTATTGAGGAGATATAAGAGAGGCTAGAATTGTTCAGTGCTTTAAATGTATGGGTTAGCACTTTGAATTGACTCCTATAGGAAACAGGGAGCCAATGTAAGGACTGGCAGAGGGGTGATATGTGAGAGGACTGACTAGAAAGGAAAATCAGTCTAGCTGCAGCATTCATTAAAGACTGTAGCGGGGCAATACGGCTTTTGGGGAGACCAATCAGGAGAGGGTTACAGTAATCCATGCGGGAAATTACTAGAGCATGGAGAAGCTCTTTGGGCGCATCTTGCGTAAGAAAGGGGCGGATGCGGGCTATGTTTTTGAGTTGGAACCTACAGGATTTGGCAAAAAACTGGATGTGAGGCTCAAAGGTGAGGCCAGAGTCAAGTATGACGTCAAGTCAGCGTGCTTGCAAGGATGGACTTATGTGGATATCACTAACTTGAAGGGAGAGCGAGAGAGGAGCATCAGTATTAGGAGGAGGAAAGACAAAGAGTTCAGTTTTAGGGAGATTGAGTTTCAGAAAGCGTGAGGACATCCAGTCAGAGATGGAAGAAACGCAAGCAGTGACACGTTGCAGGACGGCACACACACACACACATATATATACACACACACACACATACACATATATATATATATATATATATATATATATACACACACACTGCTCATAAAAATAAAGGGAACACTTAAACAACACAATGTAACTCCAAGTCAATCACACATCTGTGAAATCAAACTGTCCACTTAGGAAGCAACACTGAGTGACAATCAATTTCACATGCTGTTGTGCAAATGGGATAGACAACAGATGGAAATTATAGGCAATTAGCAAGACACCCCCAATAAAGGAGTGGTTCTGCAGGTGGTGACCACAGACCACTTCTCAGTTCCTATGCTTCCTGGCTGATGTTTTGGTCACTTTTGAATGCTGGCGGTGCTTTCACTCTAGTGGTAGCATGAGACGGAGTACAACCCATACAAGTGGCTCAGGTAGTGCAGCTCATCCAGGATGGCACATCAATGCGAGCTGTGGCAAGAAGGTTTGCTGTGTCTGTCAGCATAGTGTCCAGAGCATGGAGGCGCTACCAGGAGACAGGCCAGTACATCAGGAGATGTGGAGGAGGACGTAGGAGGGCAACAACCCAGCAGTAGGACCGCTACCTCTGCCTTTGTGCAAGGAGGAACAAGAGGAGCACTGCCAGAGCCCTGCAAAATGACCTCCAGCAGGCCACAAATGTGCGTGTGTCTGCTCAAACGGTCAGAAACAGACACCCAGAAACAGGAAGTAACCAAGATTTGATTGCGGACAGCCAAATTAATACAGCAGCACCATATGGATTGCAATTATGGACTGATAGTGGGGTGCATTTAAGAGGGAGGGAGGGGATACTTTTATGCATTTTTGTACTTGTGTCTTTTAAATGAGAAGCAGTCCCTGAGGAAGTCCCTGAGTGGGATGAAACACGCTGGATAGATTTTATCTGTATTTAATGCTGACTGATTTTTACTTCTGTGTAAGTAATAAATATTTTTATACTATACTTCAATCCACTTTCACCTTATTTTGGATGCACTTTGTTTTACATGCTGCTGAGACCTGCAATGCCAACTACTGAGAGTGAAGCACATCTTGAGATCTCCAATGATTGCTGAATGCCCTTTTTATCCAGTTAAAGGACCACTATAGTGCCAGGAAAACAAACTCGTTTTCTTGGCACTATAGTGTTAATAGGTCCCCCCCACCCTCATGGCCCCCCTCCCACCGGGCTGAAGTGGGAGGAAGGGGTTAAAATCTTACCTTTCTCCAGCGCCGGGCTCCCTCGGCGTTGGACTCTCCTCCTCCTTCCGACATCATGCTTTCCTATGGACGCTGGCGTCTTCTCACTGTGAAAATCACAGTGAGAAGAGCGGAAGCGCCTCTAGCGGCTGTCAATTAGACAGCCACTAGAGGCTGGATTAACCCTAGTATAAACATAGCAGTTTCTCTGAAACTGCTATGTTTACAGCAGAAAGGGTTAATCCTAGATGGACCTGGCACCTAGACCACTTCATTAAGCTGAAGTGGTCTGGGTGCCTATAGTGGTCCTTTAAAGTGTGAGTGACCCATTGGCACTAATAATTACCTTATCTGGCTTCTACAGAGTTGCACTATGTTCTATTTTTATTTCCCCTCGTTGGATTCACCCTATTTTGTTTGCATTACAGCATTACAGCTGCATCCACTAAAATTCTAGTTAGTGCCTTCACACAAATAAAAAATAAAAAAAAATGTGTTCCATATTATCTATGTACATTTAAGCATTAAAGAATATCTATAAGCATGGTGTGTGTAGTTTTCAGTAAAAGCCTGTAAAACATTGCAAGTCAGGTGTATGGAAGCATTAAGGGGTTTATTCACTAAATAATGAGTTGTAGTAAATTGAAAACCAGATTGCAAAACGAAAGCTGCTATTTTTACCAATATTTTTACAATTTAGTTTGCAGCTCAATAGAGTTCACTTTTCAATGATTAACCCATTAAAAGCAACAGAAAAAAGAAGAACGGGAGTAAAGTGAGTAGGGGTTTCAGGGTCCAAAAGAGGAGGGCATGAACCCAGGTAAGTAGTAAGAGGAGGGGAAAGAACGACTAATAAATAAAGTTGGTGAAGGTAGAGCTATATAGCAGTTTGTAGTCAGAGAATGTGTCCTCTAAACATCAAGGTAACATGTGACTGAAATCAAAAGAATGGCAACATTGTATTCTTATATAGTACTGCTATGCTATGCCAGGGAAAGTACAACTTTTAAAGTTATAAATGGTATGGGTTAGATCCAAAAAAACAACTGTATTATATAGAAGGGTGTTGAAACTAAAGCATAAATTTGATCGGTTAACTGCTCTATATATTTCCTAATCTGTATCTTCGAGGGCACCTGTGCTTAGCTGCAAGCAAATTCTAGCTGTCACTACAGAGTTCACCAATGATAATCAGATCACCCAGGTCTTAGCTATGTGGGACATGCGGCTGATTCGGTCAGTGATAACGCATGAAGTGCTTGTAAACAAGTTAGGATTTGTATCGTGATGACAAGTAATCAAGCTGATCATGGAAGTAAGGAGCCCGGACGTACGTTTTGCAGGTTGGGCGGCTCTTCCCATCTGGTGTCAGATGGTGTCAAGCATGTGTGTCAGCAACCAGGTGATGAGTACAAAAACAAGTGTGTCTTGCCTACAGTCAAGCATGGTGGTGGGAGTGAATGCCAACATGTACTGTGACATACTGAAGCAGAGCATGATCCCCTCCCTTCAGAGACTGGGCTGCAGGGCAGTGTTCCAACATGATAACGACCCCAAACACAGCTCCAAGACAACCACTGCCTTGCTAAAGAAGCTGAAGGTAAAGGTGATGGACTGGCCAAGCATGTCTCCAGACCTAAATTCTATTGAACATTTGTGGGGCATCCTCAAACGGAAGGTGGGGGAGCGCAAGGTCTCTAACATCCACTAGCTCTGTGATGTCATCATGGAGGAGTGGAAGAGGACTCCAGTAGCAACCTGTGAAGCTCTGGTGAACTCCATGCCCATGAGGGTTAAGGCAGTGCTGGAAAATAATGGTGGCCACACAAAATATTGACACTTTGGACCAAATTTGGACATTTCCACTTTGGGGTGTACTCACTTTTGTTGCCAATGGTTTAGACATGAATGGCCATGTGTTGAGTTATTTTGAGGGGACAGCAAATTTACACTGTTATACAGGCTGTACACTTACTACTTTACATTGTAGCAGCGTGCCATTTCTTCAGTGTTGTCACATGAAAAACTATAAAATATTTACAAAAATGTGAGGGGTGTACTCACTTTTGTGAGATACTGTATATAAATTTAACACATAACAGGTGATATATATATTCAACCATGACAGGTGCATTCTGTGCTGAAGTATATTGTCATAGATCTGACTGATTGAGCTACTTTATTTTTGTATTGCAGTATACTAAATATTGTGCTAGTACTGGATCGGAGGTTATAGGAGGTGGGAACAACTCAGCATTCTACTGTGGGAATATTTATGGGATGATAATATTAAGCAGTCGAGAATTTCCCACTCTTTCAATTCCCTTACATCTTAGAGATCGTTTATCAAATAAGTGAAATGTATTCCATAAATAAATCACAATTTGTTATAAAAATAGATTTATGACGGGGCGTGGCCTGAACGGGAATGGAGTAGGTCGCAACTCGAGCCTGCTCCGCGGCCCCAGCTCACACTAGCACCCATCAACGAGCACTGACCGACCTGGGATGGGCAGAACTAAGAGACCCCACACGCCGGGTCCCTCGCAGGCCGGTTCGCCGGGTCGCACCTCGGGCCCCATGGACGGCTATGTGTGCACGCCGCGAGACATGCGGTCCGTGCCGGCCGCATCCAAAATGGCGCCAGCCTCCCCAGGGGAAAGCAGCTGTGACAGCCAGACACTGGACTCACCCAGGGAAGAATCACTCACCCAAATAGCTGCAGATGTGGCTAAAATCACTGCAAATATGCTGTCCCGTGCTGATAAAGCTGAGATGCTGGCAGAAATCAGGACTGCAATCAGGGAGGAAGTTATGGAAGTGAGGAAAGATCTGACAGCCCTTGAACACAGGGTAGAGACCCTAGAAGCAGACAGAGCCCAGACTGTGCAGCACCAACATGCCACGGACACTGCCACCACCAGACAAGGCAACGTCTTGCTAGATCTTAGGAGACAACTAGAAGACCTGGACAACCGCGGACGGAGAAACAACATCCGCATAAGGGGACTACCAGAAAACGCGGACGAGATGCTGCCAGAACTCCTGACAGACCTGTTTACGCATATTCTGGGAGACAGAGCCCCAGCAGACTACGGCATTGAAAGAGCCCACAGGGCTCTGCGACCCATGTCCCCGGAGGGACCGCCGAAAGACGTAATATACTGCCTGCTCTCTTACGCCTTAAAAGACGACATCATGAGAGCGACGCGCAACCAGCAGAACATCGCCTTTAGAGACGGGCAGGTCTCGCTCTACCAAGACCTCTCCGCGCTCACATTGGAGGCCAGGAGGGCGCTACGTCCAGTAACCACCATCCTACGAGAGCGGAGGATCCCGTACAAATGGGGCTTCCCCTTCAGCCTGCAGGCGAAGGTGGGCCAGACCTGGCATATTATACGCTGGCCAGCAGATGTACCACGCTTCATACGAGCCACTAGTTTACCAGCGGTGACGGTTTCCAACTGGGTCTTGGAGCGACAACCACAACATCCACGAGCCGCCAGCGACAGGCCGGGCACAGGCCTTACAGGTAGCGGGTTCCGGCGGGGCGGCCCGGACAGCCACGAAGAATAATGGTCTTCTTTGAACCTGGCCCGCCATCCCCCATCTGGCCGTCCCAACGGCTGTACAGCCACCCCCCCAATGGCCCCCCCAGCCACTACAGTATGAATCCACGCGACACCACTGAAAACCTGGCCACAGACCCTCGGAAGCATCAGTGGGAGACGGACACCACAGGATGGCAAGACCCCCCACGCACCTGGTGGAGCCACGGCGCACCTTGGTATGTACTTGACTCCCTGACCTAAGCCCACACATTAGCAGGGGGTGACCCGGCCGGAGCCCCACAACCAGGGGAGGAGACCCTCACGGAACAGACTTTGCATGGACATGTCACGCAGGGACTCCCCTGGCTACCGCGGCCCGGGTACACTAGCTACCTTTGGGTGGGGGGGGGGAGGGGGGTGGAGGCTGTGGGGCTGCCAACATCCAAGGTTGCACACACCACTGTTGGAATGATCTCCCAAAGCCCTAGCCAGGTGGGTGCGACCGTTAACATGGATTCTAGCACCTCCCGGACAGCCGAGAGCATTCCAGGCAGGAAACAACGCCGCCAAAGAGGGGTTCGGGAAGACACCTTGGGGGGGGGGGAGAATGGGGGGCCTCGCTTTGCAACTGTCTATAATGTTTGTTATATGGTTTTTGTTTTGGTTTTGGTTTTTATGCTTGCAAACAATTGCTAGGCGTTGTAAAGGTTATGTAGCCACAGCAACAAACTAGTGTCAGACCTGGGGCCCAAGCCGGATAGTCCACATGTGGGCCGCCATGGGGAGGGGCGACGATGGCGGGTGGGGTCTCTGGGACGGGAACATGCTTGGACAGTTTGCAAACCGACACGACAGGTGAGCTGGGAGCCAAGGGAAGGGCTTGACATGACATAACCAAACGATCCAGACTAGAAGGACCCCATACCCCAAGTAACAGACTCACGTTGTACAAAGATTGTCAAAAAAAAAATAGATTTATTTTATTATGACCAATAAAATAACAAATATTAGGCAGCATGCATGATAATAATCAGTGAATATTTAGTATAACATAAATATGCAATACAATGGAATGGCTATACACGTTTCAATGGCTAACAGCACCATCTGTCACCTAAGATTTATGAGGGTATCCTTACAGACAAAAAGTAAAGCTTTTCACAGCGAAGAGCCATAAAACCTTGGCTAACAGTTAAAACAACTGAATAACCCTTTCAATGCTGGCTAGATCCTCCTAGGCATATAGTATCCTATTCTCCTGTGATTTTCAATTGAAATAACATTTGAACCAACTCATTAGTCATTTCCTGGAACCATCCAATAAGAATAATCTACCAGATTTTTACAAAAGCCGAATTTTAATTTGCCTAAAAAGATATCTTATCTTATATTAGAGCAAATCAATACACCTGGATAAAAAACAGCGGTATGCTAACATGTGATACTATCACATAATATATAATTATTCTTAATTCCACCTGCAGAATGGAATGTTTATAACTATATATTCTTTAGTTAACTAAGATTTCTAAATATGGAAATCTGACCGTGATTTATCCAGTCATATATCATGCTATTAGTAAAATTTTAATTAATTTAAATTAATTAAATAAAAACAGCATAATTACCAGTTATGTAGATATTCTCATCAGATGAGTAGATAGTCCCAGAAACTTGATTGGTTGTATGGAGGTGCGTGAGTAATAGAGAAAAGTGGTGTTGGTTAGAAAGTCAGAGTAGAATTCTAAGTGTTAAAAAGTTGTGTAGAGTGTTAGTCCCAGAGATGTTTCTTGAGTCCCTCTCTCTGCATGTCCGAATCGGAATCCCCAACTTCAACTCGTCCCTCTGTATATCCAACTTTTCCCTTTGTCCTTACTTTTAAAGGGGCAGACTCTTTATACGTCATTAGTTGATAAACCAATAGGAAGCCGTAGGTGGATTCAATCGATGGATCGCAATTTTGGTATTTGATCCATAGAGGGCAGTCTCGTCTAACGAAACCTTACTATCCAGGAAAGAGTTAACTTTTCCTGATGACGATTTTGACGTCATTTGGCTTATCTAAAATGACTACCATAACTTTTATACTTTGCTGTCAGTTCAAAGCGTTTGTCTCAGTCTTTGTGGCAACTACTTTGATCGTAACTTGTAAAATTGACAGTTCTAAACTCAATTTCACCCCTTACTTACAATGGAACCTTGTAAAATTTAGAAAGTAAAATTAATTACTTAGTCTTCTCTGTCACTAGTGTCTGTGTTTAGATAAATGCATTCCTTTAACATTTCGACAGAGCATTCCATCCCCCTGCTTAATTGCTAATCACTTGGTTAGTGAAATCAAGAAGAAACTATGTGTCTGTTATCCTAAAGATAGCAAAATGGAGTCCGCTTTGTTCTGAGTGACTTTGGCAATATACACTTTTAATTTCTTTTTAGCACAAAATGTCTGTTGATATAAATATTCTGACATAATCCCCCTTAGTGATTTTTCATAGCAATGGTTAATTTAGTCTATGAATAAGCACTATAGAAGTTACAAGACATATTGTGCACTCACATCATTTCTACCGATGTAGGCCTGTGCGTGGAATTAATATTTTTTTATATTTTTGTACCTGTAAGAGCTTTGAACTTTACAAGTTCCCAGAAAAACTCTTATGCACAAGGCTGAAAAAATTAAGAGTGTGTCGGGATTCTAGCGGTAGCCAGTTTAGCTCATTTAACATGTCACAAGGGTGGGTAAAGTAATTACATTCTAGTACAAAGAGGCAGAACAAATTATATAATGTATTAGGGATGTGCACGGGCAAACAATTTGATTCGGTTTGGCACTTCTGAAATTCTGGACTTCGGGAATTCGGCACTTTGGCATTTTGGGACTTCGGCAATTCCCTAACCCCTACCCCTAACCCTACCTCCACCCCTAACCCTACCCCTAAACCTACCCATAACCCTACACCTACCCCTAACACTACCCACAACCCTACCCTAACCCTACACCAACCCCTAACCATCACAACCACTTACACATCTAGGGTTAAGGTTAGGCATAGGGGTAGGGGTAGGATAAGGGTTAGAGGTAGGGGTAGGGTTAGGGGTAGGATTAGGGGTAGGGTTAGATTCCTGTAATTATTCCCGTAATTTTCCCTCCCTCTCTTGTTTTGCCACTTTTCAGAAATCCAAAGCACTTTGGCAATTTGGTGCCGTTAGGCACTTTGGAAATTCTGCACTTCGCGTACTTTGGAAATTCTGCAATTCGGAAGCATCCGAATGTCCGAATTGTCAAACTTCATCCGAATTTACATTTGGAACGAAACAAATTGCACATGTGTATAAACGTATTAAGTTTATTAAGGTAGGTTTGTGATGCAGGTGCATACACAACATCCCCATAATCAATGACCGGCATTAGCATTTGTTGCACTGTTTCCTTACTGTAGGGCTTAGGCAGGATTTGTTTCTGTACAGGGCACCTAGTTTTGGGTAAAGTTTTGAAGATATTTTTTCAATGTGAAGGCCAAAGGATAGATTGGGGTCTAGCAACATACCTAGATATATAAAAGAGCAGACTGCTGTCAGTGTGCTGTTTGAATTTGTTCTGATACACAGTTGTTGATTTTGTAGTTTACGTAATTTAGGCACAGTTCCAAAGATCATTTTAACTATTTTGTCAGTGTTTAGGAAGAGTTTGTTAACCGCTATCCACCTTTCTACCTCTGTGAATTGGTTTTGGAGCACAGCCTCAAGCTGCGGTATCTTGGGATTACTAGCGTAGATTACAGTGTTGTCTGCGTACATGTGTAAAGTTGAGGATTAGGCAGATCATTTATAAAAATTGTGAATAGCAGGGGGGCACATGCTACCTTGATGTTTAAGAGGACACATTCTCTGACTATAAACTGCTATATAGCTCTATCTTCACCAACTTTACTTATAAATTCAGGGCAAACTGTAGCATTTTTGTACATAGTTGTAAATATACTTTTTTATTTACCTATTATTTTTACCACTGTATATAAATACAATATTTGTGTTCTGTGTTCATTATATCAATATATACAAGTCTATTTTGTGTTGATTTGGGATATCACTATTTATATTTAAAAGTTAGGTTTTAATTATTTATTCACCTACAGGCCAGGGCAATTAGTTGTTCTTTCCTCTCCTCTCATTAAAAGCAACAACTTTCATAGTGTCCTGATAGAGTTGCTATGACAATTAATTTGCAAAAGTTTATTTTTGTTCAGTTTGCAAAATATCAAAATTGTGGCTGTTATCAATGGAGGCAGATGTAAGAAGTGTGCGGAGGTTAAAGATAGGGTTGGATCAAAGAAAGTATTTTATAGCCACAAAGATGTCAGTATTTTAAAGCCATAAAGATATACCTGCTGTCGGCAGTAATGATACCGAGTATCTCCTTTTAATGAATAGCAAAGAAACTAGCTTAAGTGATCCAACAATTCTACTCAGTGGACTATATAGACATAGCACAGGATGGGATTGAAATGAACCTATTTGGAGAGTGATGTTTTTGACACCTGTATTTTTGACATATTAATGAGATCATTGAAATTGTTTTCCATGAAGCTGGATACATGTAATACATTAGTGTGTTTGTATTGCGTAATTGTTGCTAATTGCATGTTACTAGCATCAAGTAAAGTCAATGAGAAAATGGAATGAATTCTCCAAGCAAATTAAAAAAAATACCCAGAGAGAGATACTCAGATATAGCAACAGACAGTTGAATGTACTCGACAGCATATGTTAATTACACAAGGTAATTGAATGCATTTATACCAGAAATCCTACACTTACCCTAGGCAGGCAGGAGTAGGTCTGGGATATTTTCATACCTGTAGCTGCTTTTTAAAAGGCAGCCGCTGCTTGCTAAAGTAACACTTTTAGCAAAAGGGGTGAGCAGCAGCCACTACAAAACGCCAGTAGTTAAGTAACGGCTTTCGACTCCTATTATTCGCTATGGGGGTTGCTGCTTGCTACAGTGTCTGGTTCCAATCCTGTCCCTACTGTTTATATCTGCCAATAACCCTCTATACTGACTGCTAAGATTTGAGTAATCTCGCTGTTGGTAAAGTAACAATGAAAGAGTCGCAATGCCTTTGATGAACATTGGGCTGGTGGTTTATCTAATATTGTCACTATGTTGAAGTCTTTACACCAGAAAAATGATTACACTGGAGCAGTAAATTTATGCTGTTGTCTGATACCCTGAGTCAGGCTAGTAAATCTTACTGATTATTGATTAAGGTGCAGTGCACACACAAAAAGAAACAGTTTTACATTTTACACAGCTACTTAAAATCACCTATCTCAGCAAACAAACATGGGGATTCATTTCCATCATCTCGCCACATTGTCTTAAGCCCACAACTACGCCAATTCATTTTTATCTTAAAAGAAATGCCAGCATAAATAATTGTATTGCTTATGTTGATTTTGACATGCACTAATCAGTTGCGTCCTTTGTTAATATTACTATACACTGTATCAATACTCCTGGGTTTCAGATCAAATATTAACCAGAGAAGTATGGGTAATGTATGAGGCTCTGCATCAAAATATCTACATAATCCCCAATTTTGCAGAGACATGATAATTATGAATATACTTTTCTGTTTTTATACAATTTAAAGTTAATGGTAAAATATTCTATAAAGGAGACAGTTATCGCAGTCAGTAGTCACTGATACCATAAAATAAAGGATTTTCTGAGTCATTTGTAGGTGACTCGACAGACAGCATCTGGCGAAGTTATTCATGGAAACTGACTATGATGACTAATTTTTTACATAGAGAATGGGCCATATGATGTTTATCAAGATTTGTTGTTAAAATGTGTAATATTTAGTTTTGTGCTTCTTATTTTCTTGCAATTTTATCATATATATGTAACTGCTTTTGGAACCTGCAAAACTCACAGTTAGGTGTTCTGGCTGGAGAGATGGAAATAATTTTTTTAGCCTGTTTGAATCATGCCAGAACCAAGCTGCCGTGGGAATGCCCTAGAATTATATAATAAACTTAAAACTAAGCAAAATTTTAAATGCATATGCACATACAAAATCAGTACACAAAAAACCCCCAAATATATGTGACCAATCAGTGAACAAACCGAAGTGGCACTATAAAAAGACTCTAGACTCCGAAAGCACTTTAGCTTACTTGAAAGCTTTTTGTATGAAGAGTGCCCTATTATTTTCATTTTGCAAAAAGTGCAGATTTCAGTAGACATTGACACTTAGAAATGAACCTGCTTACACCCCCTTGGCTCTTTAAACAGACAACAGGTAATGTTACTTCCTGGTTTGGTTTGCTAAGTGGAGCTAAACTCAAGAGACAGGCAATTACCAGAGAACCTTGCAAAGACTTTTCATTGAGCTGCATTGGGAAGTCTGTGATTGGACAGCAGCTGAAAGTCTGGGCGGGGTTAGAAGGGGAGGGCTTGCAAAGGCTTTAGCCAAAATAACTTTAGTTTTTGCAAGCTGTTTTTAGTTTTACCCCAATTAAAAAATATATATATATATAATTAAATACATGCATGTTTATATTTGGGGTATATCTATGAAATAGTGATTTTAAGTTATTTTCTATTTGTGCAGTGGAGTGTCCCTTTAGCTTTTTAAATGATTTAATATTTTTGGATAAACATAGAAATCTGTGCAAAACCATTCTCTTAACAGGTCTCTTCAGTGCAGGAACTTTATGCTAATACATTTAGCAGTGACAATATGTGCTTGGCATCTAAAAGAAATTTAAAGTGTCACAAATAAAAATGTATACAAGGTGTGCAAAAATAAACTGCAATGCAAATACTTATACACTCAAATAGGTATCTTCCTTTAACAGAACCTTTAAAGAAAACAATATACAAAAGAACTTGAACAGTATAAAATATTAAATCCCCTTTTATAACTCCAAATGAACGCAACTCACAAGATCAGAGTGGCTATATGCCACTCAAACAACTTCGTCCCGGGAGGATCTGACCTTAGTTAACCTTGGATCCGAAACACAGCACCATTTCCAGTTTCCAAAGGACAGACAGGAAGAATCATCAGTATGGAGCCGAACATTTTATTAAAAAACCCTAAAAAAAAGAAAAAAAAAAAAATCTATTAAAACAAAATAAGAGGCAAAATCAGTATACCACAGGGGTAACTGTATTATAAGTTCCTTGTTACAATGTAGCCCGTCCACAGTCCTCATATATATGTATAGTGGTTTTATGTAACAGAATTTATTCTTTAGATTGGGATTATGAGTTGTGTGTTACATTTTTATATAGTGGCACTCTTGTATAATGTCAATGCATTTTTCAGCTGGAAATTGGTAGTAACGAAGAAGAATTGCATTAAGCTTTAGGGAATTGTGGTATTAAGTATAGATTGCAAAGCTAACACCGTAAGTACATTTGTAAATAGTATTTCTTTTTTATAAATTACTGCTGCATTTTCTATTCAGAGGCTAACTGTGTTTCATTGACCTTTCATGCATGTGGTATGGTGACTATAAAGTTCAATCTGCATCTGAATATATTTTTCCCCCCATATAATCCTACTTGTTCTGGTAATACTGATGCATGTCACCCACTACGCATTCTGCTCCACCCACCGAAGCTTTCTCAAGTATATGCATAAGTCCTTTGCAACTCTCTAATATGTGCATAGTATTCATCTTCACTTTAAACAGTGGTATTTACTCTCACATTCTTTATATTAAAACAAAAACGGGGGACATGATCCTCATACAACACTTGGAAAAATAAAATAAAATTATATTTTCAATTCATTTGGTGTTTTAATAAAATTGACACCTTTCCAATTTTCAGTCACCTTTTTAACCTGCAGATTTTGATGAGTGAGACAGTTTGGTACAGCATATGACTTGGACCATTGATATTTCTGGCAGCCAGAAGGGGACGTTAATAGGTATTTAGGACAGTGGACAGGGTGTTTTCTGGGCATGGCACAGAAATTAGTGACAGTGGGCTTGAAGAAAATGTAACTAAGTATTTAGGACAAATGGAAACAGCAATGCTCAAATCCTGAATACATTTGAGCATTTCTAAATAGTAGAAAATAGGAATATAGCAAACAAAGCAATCTTCAAAATTAATAAAATACATTACAAGATACAATTTATTATCGCCAGCAATCCCTAAAAAGAAATGATAATAAAGGAAGTCCATGCTCCCCTTCCCCCGACCCAACGTTTAGGGGCTTGTCCTATCATCTAATTCTGCTTCAGATAAAACGAACAATAATTTCAGTCCATCTGTGAAGTCACCCAGATATTCTGGCCAAATAAGGCTTAGGAAGTCTTATCTTTCCTGATTCCATGGAGGAAGTGAGTAAGAACTCAGCATGTAGCATAGGAGGAAGATTTATTTTTATTTTTTAATTCGTTATTTTTTCCAGTGCATAAGATAACATAAATGCTGGTATAGGCATTTCACAAGATTATATACGACAGTAACAGAATATATATGCTTTAGGAAGTGTCTTGAGATTTGAGAATACAGCATTTTGTAAAAAGAATATATGAGAAAAGGCATCAGGAGTGGGCTAAGAGAGTGTCTCAGATGCAAGAGCTGATATAGGAATGCAGGGTAAGCGTTACCACCCATTTGCATTATGAGATGGACAGTAAGGGTATATCAGCACCTAGTGAGTAGACTATCCAGTTTACTTGCCAAAAGACATAAGGTTGAGCAAAGGAGCTGTTTAAAAAATACAATAGGTTGTCATGCGATAACATTTACCTAAAATTGATAGGCAAAAGTTAAAATGTACATGCTAAACATCAGGTAACAATGAAACTTAAACCGCTAGGGCCATAATATGGAAATATGGTGCGGTTTAATAGAGGATCCTCAGCTAAAGGGCCCATGAAGTAGGCTGAGAGACATTGTGTAGGGACAGTCACTCTATACCCAAAGTGGGCACAAGCTGCCTGAGTATGCTGTGTCTATTAACATTATAGTCCTGATAGAGCCATTGCAGGGTTTTCTTCTTGTCTTGGACTCTCATCATGATTTCCTGGGCCTCCAAGCTCAAGGGGGTACCTCTCCGGCTCCACACTATGGTGCTCTCCTGGTTTGTGTCTCCACAGGACCTGCTCTGGGTGAGTGGCATTCTGCATCCTGAGACAGTTAGCAGTGAGCCTGCATAGAACATCCCCTGGGTTTCTTGTACTCCATGGCGGCCATCTGGAGCAGTCTTGCAGGAAGATGTCCCTGGATACAGGGCAAAAGCCCGACTTCGAACCGCCACATGCTTTACTCCAAACACTTCAGGAACAGGAGTGAGGGTATCAGCATCAGCTGGCATCTGCTTTTGAGGGGGACATTCTGTCCGTCCGATCATGCTTGGAACACAGTGCAGAGACTGGGTGCTCGTGTTCCCACTGGTAAGTTGCTGTGGTCTGTATGGGTAGCTGTATTTCTCACTGCCTTGCCACTAAATGGGACCAGAATCTCTCGAAGATGTGGTCCAGCCTGGCTAGTGATGCTGCTACCCACGCAGTTGTGTTTCTAGTGCCGCTCTCCACCATCTTGGTGGCCACGCGGTCTGACTGAGTGGTTACTGGAGGCTACAACTGCGAGTGTGAGCGGTAGAGGTAGCTGAACTCCTGGGACCGGGATGACCCCCGCCAGTCCAAAGGTGGGTGGAGTAGATTGGTCAGATGCAATCAGCTGGAAACATCAGGAGAGTGTCTGTCTCCATCCGACGCCAGCCCTGCTAGTAGGCCACGGAGTATACAGCTTGGGCAATCAAGGTAAGGGAAGCCCCAAGTTTAGTGTCGCTCGATTCACCAGTGCACCCACTAATCAATAAGAGCAGTTTTTCCAATTGATCTGCTGCCTGCCTGTAATAATTTGATTAATAGGTCTGCCAAGCTCAGGAGCTCATGCAGCGTGCGTCCAGTCTGCTTGGCAGTCAGGCTCCGGCCCCAGGAGGAGTAGTTTTTAATGGTTTAGTGAATCATAATATAGCATGAGTTAAGCTTTTTTTTTAGAAAAATGTGATTTTCATATGGTTAATAAATATGTTTATGGCTTAGTTTACACTATATCCACAGTTTACCTCTTTATTTTTATGTATGGCTATCTTGTGTGACTCCAACTCCAATTAATATCAGGCAATGGTACTGCCCTGCTGATGCTGATTCTGTCTCCAGTAGGTCTATGTTTAAGTCAATAAAAAAGGTTCAGAAATTCATATGGACACTTGTTGGGATTTAAACACATTTAAGAATATTTCACTATGTTCTATTGAACTGTGTTTTCTATTTGTACTTTATTTGTGATTTGGAAAATGCTAAGAGAAGTATCAAGTATTTCAATTCATGGTTTATGTGCCTTTTTTACAAACAGCATGGTTTGGTTAGGAGGAGAGTTGCATAATAATAAAGATGTTATATTAGGATCCAAGAACTGGAGCAGTAGTACCATCACACGTGGAGGGTCTCTACATGGAAATCCGAATTACCTAGCAGTTTTACTTAAAGTGACACTGTCATCGTTTGGGGAGTTTGAAGAATTTGCAAAGACCCTCAGAATGACATCGCCACTAAGGGTCTGGTGGCTGAGTGGGGGGGGGGGGCAGGTAAAGGTGAGTTCTACTTTTCTGAATCTGTCCCTAGTGGGCACCGGTGTCTTCTTCCAATGGGGAGAAGTTAAGTGAGAAACTCGTTATATACTGTATTAAAGCTGCTTATGAGGTTAAATGCATCCAGTGTTTCTATGAGGCCACCAGAGGTGAAAGTAATTGTAAGAACTGGTTCTGTATTCAATGTAAGACTACTGAGGATCTCCCATATGGAAATTAAATAACTTCAATATGTACAGTTTTCCTTTACAAATGTAAAATGTTTCCAGATTGAAACAAAATGCCATTTCCATGCTTTTACACTCTACCTACTGTCTTTATGGAAGTTCTGCTATATATGTTCTGGAAACCGCAATTTTCACTTTTCGATTAGATTCTTCTTGCATGTGGCTGCTGGTATTTTTATTTTTGTTAATTTTTTGGTGGGAGGCGCTAACAAGTTAATAATCCGCTTCACGTGTACATTAGACTTGGCTATACATTATTATTATTAACCTAAGTGTTTCATGCACAAGTAATTGTAAATATAAATTCAAACCTGATTTCCTTCTCTGATCGTTTATAAAATGAGGTATTGCAATTTAAATCTGGCGTCTTAAATTTTCTCTATGTATATTGGTAAACCTATGGCATGAGAGACACTTTTGGCACTCATACGCCTTTGCAGACGCACTTAGGGGGATATTTATCAGTGTGTTCTGAAAAGTGACGGTTAAATTCAGTCAGTATTTTTTTTTATCATATTCATTATAGTGATCTAAAAAGTGTTGGTTTTCTTTATAGTAAATTCAGCAGAAACTTCCATTTCAGAAGACCACTAAATTTGAAGAGGTGGGACAATTCATGAATCTGTTGTGTTACAGAGAAATATTGCATATTCAAAAATTATGGTTAGGTTGCAAAAAAAGAAACAGATTAAAAAATATGACATATTTAATAAATTGCATCAAAGCTTCACTAGAAAGTAGCTATTAAAGTGTCAGCTACACATTAATAAATCCACTTAGTGTCTGTCTCCAGAATAGCCATAATTTTTAAAGAATCAGTTAAAAGGGGTGTACTAAGGCATTCTGTTTCCCCATGGAATCCTCTTCAAGTTACCTGATGGTAGTGCTGATATCAGCACACATAAAAGACTAAATAGTAGACAGCAGGCAGGGGATAGAATCCCACACTGGAATGGGATGTTTATTGGGACGGAAGAGAAGATACATTGAGTATGACCATCAGTACGAGTGGTAGAATAAAACCTGAAATTAAATAGTGAAATGAATAGGAGGTCTGCTAAGATAAAATATTGTTACTGTCAGCGTGTATGGATATTGTACAGAATTGAGTGTATACTGAAATCAACTTGGACTGGGAGAATACGAGAAGGAGACCTTCCATAAAGGGAGACCTCCAAATAAAGGGAATAAAATCATATATAGATGGAAGGAGTGGAGACAAAGAAATTTAGAGAAGTGGAACTAAAAACAGAAGTAAGGTAGAGTGAACTCGGCTTGACAAAGGGTGTTGTGATATAGATGGGTTTGAGGGGACAAAGGAGAAATAGACAATAAAAAAAAAAGAAAAGGCTTATATTAAGGGCTCAAGTAAAGTAAAGAGGGGCAAATTAAAAGAGAAAGATGAGAGAACTATAATGGCAAGTAAGAAGGGAAGAGGGATGAGATATGGGAAAGGATGAATGGGAAGGGACCTTTATTTCGATGCCTTGATTTCTGCGAAAGATTTTGCATTCGTCCTAAAACCATAATCACTGACCTAATGTTTGTGTATTTATCTTTGATACATTGTAAGAGTTGCCTTTAAACACTGTTTTAGTTACAATCTATTTTACATTCCGAGCATTGGCCTTATATGTGGGTGCTGCGGATATATCCTTAATAATTATTCATTGTTATCGTTGTGCTCAGATCAGTTCCCTTTTCATTTTTCTTTGCATCCAGCAGTAGACGTTTGATTTAATAATAGGGATAAAGTAATCTTGCCGAATAATACAATTATGCCAATCAAATAAAGACAAACGCAACCAGTAAGGTGAGCATTTGAGAATGTGGTAGACCTAATTAGTCCAATAATTTATTGTAGTCTCTGAAAAACTCAGTTTTCACAGAAACAACAAAACCTTGAATCGGGCTTTATGGATTACAATTCTCATTTTAGTCTTTTAAACTCCTTTAGCACTATGGATACATCTTTGCAACACATTTGACTTTGAACTAGAGACACCCATTTTAGACATTAATTGTTGGTCCTCCCATCTTTAAAGGATCACGTCGCACCAGATCAGAAGCAGGGCTAAGAAGTCAATAGATTTATTAGTGTCAGATGAACAGTTTGATGTTTTCTCAGCTGTTCCTACAAAATCAAGAAAAAATTCAAATATATAGTAAATTTCCAAGTATTTGTACTGGTTTGCAGGGGTTTCTTAAATACTATGGAATATGTCAAGTGACAAAAAGATGTCTAGGTGTGCTCCAGTCTATCTCAGTGCTGCCGTATAAGATTATAGAATTCTGAGAAAGGCCCAAAGATGTAATGTACACAAAGATTGATTCCGGACAGGTGCTGCACGTCTATAGCAATAGATAATAGATAAAAGCTAATAAAAAAAAAGAGACACTCCATATAAGACACAATATATACATTTGACAAAATAGTGAAAGGATAAAAAAATAATGTATATATAATACTAATCAGAATACCTATCTGCAATCTGCTAAATGTAGTACTGGGAAGGCAGGATGTGTAGTCTGATCAGGAAAACACAGCTCGAGATGCAGCACTACCAGTGAGCAACAAACTATCAGAGATGCTATACACAGTGTCATCACATACGGCAGCCTCTAGAGCTGTCGGAGAATGTCAGGCACAGAGTATTATGTTAAATAATAATCCTGGGAGGGTCAGATTTTTTAGATCTGAGGAAGATCACCAGGAAACCATGGGATCATCAATAGAAAGAGCAAATATCCCTACAACCATCACTGGTGATGGCTGGGGGAAATGACAAAGCTTGATGGTGGTAGCTCTGTCATGCTTTGTCCGAAGGAGGAAAAATACTGAGACAAAGTAGTCCCTTTTAACTGGGTTGGAATTTCAGTGAAAGAGATTCCATCTTTATGAAATACTAACTTTGGAGGGGTAGGTGACAGTGCCGCTTTAAGAATTATAAACATGTTACAGGTATAGTTGTTTAGGTTAAAAATCTTATTAGATACACGGTATAGGGTCAATTCTGCTCACTTGTCTTTGCAGGCAAAATGGAATGTGATATTTTACAAATGTGTAAAGTTAAAATCTAGCTCTGCAATGTCACTAATCTCTGTTCCTGGTTTAGCTTATTTCCTAGTTTTCCTTATGTTTAAATAGGAAGGAAGATGCATTTAAACATAGTTACATAGGGTGAAATATGACATGTGTCCATCAAGTTCAGCCTCATATCTGTTTTTGCTGATGATCCAAAAGAAGGCAAAAAAACACAGTTTGAAGCACTCACTATTTTGCAACATACTAGGACAAAAATTCTTCTTGACCCCAGAATGAAAGATATCTCCTTGGATTAAGAAGCTTTTACCCCATCTATTAAAAAGTATATCCCTGAATGTTATGTTTTTGCAAGTATTCATCCAATTTCTGTTTAAACATCTGTACAAACTCTTATAAAACCACCTATTCAGGCAGAGAATTCCACATCCTTAATATTCTTACTGTAAAAAAAACAAAATAACTGTAATTTGTCTTAGACTAAA